GAGGTGGAAAAAGGAGAAGGAGAAAGGAGAAGCTGGGAGGCCCATGGTCCACAGTTGTGTTTCCAGAAAGTTCCTTCTCCAGCTCTTAGGATTGGTTGTGCCAGTTCACTCAAGCTCCGCATTAAGACTCACAGGACGTCTCTCCCTCAGCCTGATGCAGATAGAGTCTGGCAGAGCCCTTGGGACAGGTTTTAGCACTGTCCCCGTGGCCCAGAAATATATATTTTCTTTTTCGCTTTTCAAGTAACAGGAAACTTCACTCTGGAATCTGAACTGAAAGGTACATATCACCTCTATAATGAGTGCCAGCTCAGTACTATGTACTCTGGATGATTGAAGTCCCTCCTCTGCACACATGTGGTCTTGCCTGTTTTTTGCTCTTGCAGAAGAATCTCAGGTGCTATAGACTGAGTACCTATACTTTAGAATCCCTATTCTACTCTGTGTGTGAGTTTCTGGGCTGAATCTGTTCTGAAAAGCTCAGCGTTTTTGTTTGGCTGGATTTTTAAAATTATTTTTATAGACCCTCCTGTTTTATTTTTATAATCCCGAGCAACATGCTTTTGCTCCTTGATTAAGAGACCATGAGAGCAAGAAGTAGTCTGACATTTTGTTTGGCAGTTCGGGGAGAGACATGGCTTGGGTCTCTCACTCAGCCGTCAGTACTGAATAATTGAAATCCGGTAAATAGTAAAGTCCCTGATGCTGGGCAAGATTGAGGGCAGAAGGAGAAGAGGGCATCAGAGGATAAGATGGCTGGCTGGCATCACCAGTACAATGGACATGAACTTAGGCAAACTTCCGAAAATGGTGAGGGACAGGGAGGCCTGGCGTGTTGCAGTCCATGGGGTTGCAAAGAGTTGGACATGACTGAGCAACTGAACAACAGCAACTACTACTGTGTTAATTGGGGAAACAGTTTTTTTCTTTAATGAGGAAAGAATCCACAGAGAATTAGAAAGTGGAACTCCAGAGTTAGAATAGAGAAGGTAAAGTCAAACATGTACTGATGATCTACTCTGTGCGGGGTATTGTGTTAGATACTGCAATAGATACAAAAGCAAAGTAAGAAACTCTACTGACTTTCAGGCTCTTGGAGGAATGACCGTGATCCCCAGCTGTGGAAGGGTTAAGTGGCATAAGGACTAGAAAAGATGGGAGAAAGATCTTTGGATGGAAGCAGTTAAAGAAATCTTGATGAAGAAAATGGTGTTTAAAGTGGACTGTTTAGAAGGAGCAGGATTTCAACAAGAAGGCATTCAGTGAACTTCATTGAGCTGTTATGAGCCAACACTAGTAATTGGGGATGAAAATACATGGGTTGGAGGTTATCAAAGACTTGTCTAGACAACAAACAGTTCTATTTGATTAGAACTTAAGGTGTGTATAGGAATAAAACGGAAGATAAACTTCTGAAGAGCTGTGAATGCCAGATAAAATCTCTACATTAAAAAAAAAGAATTTCCCCAGTGATCCAGTGGTTAGGACTCCACACTCTCATTGCTGAGGACCCAGGTTCAGTCCCTCATTGGAGAACTAAGACCCCAGAAACCGCACAGCATGGCCAAAATATAAAAACCAGAGAAGTTTCATCTTTTATCAGCTGCAGTTGAGAAACTTTGATGTTGCAGAATACATAGAGAGGGATCAGTTAGTAGGAGACTGTCTTGATTAGTAAGTGGATGCAGTAATAACTTGAAATGAGGGAAATGAATATGAAAAAATTATGGAAGTAAAATCATTTATGATTTAGCATTAAGCATTGAGTTTACTTGAGAGTAGTAAAAGATTCTCAAGGTTTCATGGCTCAGTGACAAATGGATATATTTAAGATGTGAAACTTTGGGAAAGAAAATATTTTAGCTTTGGACCTGTTACAATTTAGGCGTGTGTGAGAAATCTAGATACAGGTGTCCAGCAGTTATTTCTTATTTGCCGAGCACCTCCTAATGTTCTGGGCACTGATTAGGATGGTGGGGACTTGGCAGATGAACAAGGCAGAGTAGATATGTGAATGAATTTGTAGAAGATGGATGACTTCTCTGGAGAACAGGAGGGGAGGTGTGGAGATGGGTGGGGAGGAAACTAGATCGGTGGGTAAGGAGAACCTGGGCAGTGTTGATGGCGGTGAGATGGAGAAGCGGACGTGAGGGAGAGAGCGCCAGTAGGGCTTTGCAGTTGGGTTGGATCTGAGACATGAGAGAAACGGTGTGATTGCAGTCTGGGCCTGGGCCAGTTCACAGTGATCCTCTTTACTGGTGAGGATGACTGAGGGAGGAGAGGCACCACCGAAACAGAGGTCAGGAGAAACAGCAGGTTAGAAACAGGTATCCGGTAGTCATCTTTGAGTAAAGAGAAGATGCAACCCCATTTATGAGGAGCAAGAGGAAGCCGACTACTCAGGAAGGTAGACTGAAAGAGGAGCCAGAGAGGGGAGAATCTAAGAGGTGGGAGCTTGAGCCAGGGCTGCTCAAGTTCTCAAGTTTGGAAAAGGGAATGAGGTTTGCTTGGCCAAGAGTGGGAATTGCTTCAATCACAAACTCAAGCAGCCAAGGCTGTGAAAGCCTTTGAAATTTTAGCAGGACAATGAAAAGACAATGCAGACCCTGAAAATCAGAGAGGGACTCAAGCTACTGAAGAGTCCAACCCTGAAGAAGCGAGACACCTTGTATTACATTCATATATTTTAAAGATCTGATAATACAGACGGGATGGGGATGCACTGAAGGAATGATGGGACTTTTCCCTTACCACATTCTCATCGCCACAGCCCCCTCCCAGCTGAGGATATTTTCCTAAATGTTTTTTTATCTCTAAAACTAGAAGGCTTCCCCCAATCCCTATTAACCTGTCCGCTCCACTCTTCTGCCTTATTTTCCTTCTCTCTTCTCTTCATGCTGCCATAAACATTTGAACAGTAACTTGATTATTTTAGAAGAAACTAATGCTGTTTCCTCTTGACTTGAAGGTAAGTGATCCTGTTGTCATTCCTATTTCTTATGCATTTTATTACTGAGGCCTCTTCTGCTCAGAAGAGAGGTTAGTGAACTTCATTAGCTAACAGAACTACCTCTCCTTTATACCTTTCCTGCTATGTTTGAAGCAGTATGATGTCTGAAAAATCTGTGTTCATACAAGTTAGGAGCCCCCTTTTCTGTCTCAGGTGGCTGCCTTCGTTTTGCCATCAAAGGGCCTGGAGAATCTTTGCCCAGATGTTGTTCTGATTCCTCAGAAGAAGGCTGTCTTCTTCATCCCCATCATTCAACCTGACTTGCCTAATGCTTCTCTGGAGAAAAACTGGCTGCAGCCTTGAGGGAGGCGGGACAGCAGCAAGCAGTGACAAGCAATGAATGTTGTCTTCCCTGTTTGTGTGAAGGGAAAGATGCCAGGAAGGGGAAGCCTTCCTAGTCCCCCCAATCCCCACATCTCAGGAGATCCCAGCTGTCAGTAAATCACTCTGGAGGTGACTTTTGGTTTAAACCCAACCTTCTATCTTTCTGTCCTGACCCAGAAATTGTTGCAAAGCCACAGTGAGCAGCTCAGGGGAAAATTCACAGTGTTAATTCCAATTCTGGTGACCTTCCTCCTTGTGCACACCTCATCCCATCTCTGACCACACACACACACACCTTGTGCATACCTCATCCGATCTCTGACCACACACACACACACACACACACACACACACACACACACACACACACCCCATGTCTCTGTTTGAGATTTCATATGCTGCACACTTGGCTCAGAATCCTGAGTAAGTCCCATTCCTGATGTCTTACCAAGCCAAGAGATGTTTTTTTCTTGAAACAATGTCCACAGATAGTCCCTCCAGCGCCACACATGTTACCTCTCTTTCTGTCTCTCCTTAGTTTGGGGCAGTTGAAGAAAAGGCAGAAGTATGGGGCGTAAGTGGGGGGTGAGTTGTGGGGATTCACTCATCCTTGTCCTCTCACAGAACAGCTCTGGCCTGAGGCCAGATCTAGACTGGAAAGTGAGCAAGTTTATAGGTAGAATGTCATGAGGGTGAGGTAGCAGGTAGCTGCCTAGAAGCAAATGGCCCATATGTTGTGAAGTTAAAGACAACATCTGTGTGAACCCCAGCAGAGAAGCAGTTTACCGAGTGGAATCTAGAAAACTGAGAGACTGAGGGCTAATGTATCCACTTTCTGCTTGATAGGAGTCCCTGCTCTGGCCTGCTAGGTACTTCTTGGGATCTTTGCCTCAGGTCACAGACAGGTAGTTGAAGCTGTGAGACAAGTGCATCATGGGCTTTGGGGCCTGGGTTCCATTCCTGCACCATCCCTTCGTCACTCTGTAATGCTGGGTAAGTGAGCTCACCTCCACATCCTCCATTTCCCCGTCTGTAAAATTATATCCTGCCTCATGTCAGCGATTTAATGGACATGAGTTTGAGCTGAGCAAACTCCAGGAGATAGTGAAGGACAGGAAAGCCTGGTGTGCTGCAGTCTATGGGGTAGCAAAGAGTTGGACACAACTGAGCAACTGAGCAACAACAACATAGGGTTGTTGAAATGAGGAAATGCACATTAAGGGCCTGGAAGAGAACCAGGTAGGTACCGAGCAACTGCTTTATAAACGGTGGTGGTACACTCCGCTCCCAGCATCCCCGCTGGCTGGGTGCTGGGCCAGCTCCCCCATGTGAACGAGGGGCAAGCGGAGGTCTGACGTGTGAGGCCGCATGTCCTCAGCCTTCAGATGGACAGGGCTGGCTATGGGGAAGAGGCCTGCTGACCTGCTTTCTCCCTCCTGTGCCTGCTCTGTAGAGCACTCCAGAATTAAGCCCAAAAGAAGGGCAGAGGAATAAGATCATGAAGCCATGATCAAGGCCTAGACTGTGCTCAAAGGACTTCCTGTGAGGAAGTCTGGGCCTTCCTCTTGGAGTTTTCTCTCTCCAACCTCACTTTCCTTACCTCCTTCTCTCCCCATCCCCCGTGGGCACCACAACCCCTACTGCCATCCTTCCCAGACACCTATTTGAAGCTTTTAAACTTTTTTCTTTATTTAGACAGAAAAGACCAACTCTTTAAAAGTAAAATGCAATAAATAAATAAGTTAAGCATAGAGAAGTGTCTGAAACTGACTCCCCACTCTCCCCTTACCACTCCCACCCCCACCCCATTTCTTTTCCCTAAAACCTCTTTCTAAAGAAAATGATCAGGTAATAAACCCTTTTAGCCCACCCCACACCCCTCCTCCCAAATACCCAGTTACCCCTCAAAGCAAAGGGAGAAATCAAGAGAGAGAAAAAATCCAAGGGAAATATTGTCTAAACTCCCAGAAAGAGAGATGGCAGCGTCCGGGCTGGGCCGGGCTGGATAACGCACGGGTGGTAGTGGTATTTACACGGAGGGGACCAGCAGAGACTGTAAACATTTTTAGGGGTTTAGGGGAGGTCTTTTCCTCATGAAAGGAGGAGGGTCTCTGTGGCTGACTGGCAAAGAGGCAGCCCTCAGGGCTCCCCCACACCCTCCTTAGAGGGGGCCCTCAGGGGAGGCAGTGTTTTAGGGCTGGGAGCCCAGGGTTAAGGGTTGTCCTACCTCGAGCTGAGGGTGGCAGGGAGTGTGAGAACCAGCTTCTGAGAAACCCCTAATGTGGGGAAGAGGCTGGGGTGAGGTGGGTGGGGAGCGTGTCGGCAGCCCCTGCTGCCCTCCCGGGCCACACAGGTAGATGAGGCCCACAGGTGGGGGAGGCAGGTGCGAAAGCTGGGCACAGGAGGCCCGTCACAGGAGCCTCAGCAGAAGGCAGATACCCCCGAGCCTTCGAGCCTGGTCCATGCTCCCTCACAAAAGGCCAAAAGGGCACCTGGCAGGAAAAGGCCCTTTGGGGGAGGCGGGGTGATGGGAGTGGGCCGGTGTCCTGTGCCCCCAGGGCCACGAAGCAGCGTTTGCCCCAGAGCCCAGACAAGGTCCAGGGCGGATGTGCAGAGGGGGCCGGGGCCAGCCGTGGGGAGAGGGGTGAGGCGCCCCTTCCTCTGGTGTCTCCAGACCTGTGAAGGAAGGAAACACAGGTGAGGCTTGGGGAAAGATGGCAGCGGGTGCAGCTCACAGGCCCTGGGGTCAGAGGGAGCCGGGGGCGCTGAGGAAGGCAGGTCATCAGGAAGGCCTCGGGCCCAACTGAACCATCTGGCCCCCCAGCCATTCGACAAGGGACCAGGGTGGAGGAGAGGAGACGGGAGGGGTGGGGCGGATGATTCCGGAAACCAAAGGATGTTAGGAAGGAAATACTCAAACAGCCCGTGAGAAGAAAGACTGGAGGGTGTGAAGACAGGGACTCGAGGAGGAGAGGCAAAGACACGAGGTGACACACAGGCAGGCAGAGGGGACTCAGAGGAAGGAGGGTGAGGTACGGGGACAGACACCTGGAAAAGAGCGAGGGGCGTCTGCAAAAGGGCGGCAGAGCAGGCCGGGGTGGAACCGGGGCTGGAGTCTCGTGGGGTGAGACCCGCCCCAGCCCCTAGGGGGTGCTCTCATTCCTTTTTGAAAAGGAACAAAGAAAGCCAGAGAAATGCACGGAACACAGACCACAGTCACCAACCACTGTTGACCAAGCACGTCCCGCGAGCTGCCCCCGGCCCTGACCCTGGGCTGGGGGGCGCTTCCCTCCGCGGCCCCCTCCCCAAATAACAAACAATCGGCTCCAAAGACAACACGCTCGTTCCATGCAACTTACAGGGGCCCGGAGCAGGGGTCCGGGGATGGGGGCTTCGGCCGACAATGGACACGGGCCCTGGGCTGGGGGGCCCCCAGGGTGGGGGGGAGTTAAGCAGCCAGGATTGGGGGGAAAGGGGGAAAAACAGAAAATGTGGGTATTGTTCTTGGGTTGTGTTTTTTTCAGGGGTTTGGTCCAAAAGAGATTAAACAACACAAAAGTAACCAAAGCTCACAGCTTTGTGGCCATGAGGTTGGGGTGGTGGCAGGCAATGGGAAGGAGGGGGCCTGTTATGTAAAATTCACAGGCAGTCCAGCATTCCAGCCACCTCACCGGAACCAAAAGTACTCCCCAGAGGCCTGACACTGACTTCCCCCCAATCTGTTCTGTCACTCTCCCCTGTCCCATGGGTCTACAGCTACCACTTGGGGTCCAGGGCACCAGGACCTGATGTCCCCACTTCTCAGGACAACAGATATTCTAGGAGCCAGTGATTCTAGGACCCTCCAGTACCCTAAACCAGTCCCCCTAGTCCCCAAACCCTACTCCCCTAATTCTACTCCATCCCAAAGGAAAATCAGAAAGAGAGACACATAGACACATGGACACTGACCAGACAAACGAGACCAGATACTGGGGAAGCTCTAGGGAGTGGACACAGATAGATACAGACTTGGCTCTCTCTGGGGTCACAGTGTGTGTGTGTGCGTGTGTGTGTGTGTGTGTGTGTGTGTGTGTGTGTGTGTGTGTGAAAGAGAAAGTGAAAGAGAGAGACCTGGGTGATTGAAAACAGCTGAGGAAGCTGCTCCAGGTCCCTGAGTGCCCAGAGTCAGGGGTGGGCATCCCTGAGGGGGGTGGGAAAAGGGGTGGGGGCCCTGGCTGCAGTGTGAGGGGCTAGAGAGCTGACAGGACGGGAGCGGGACCCACCTGGGTGCCCTCAGTAGGGCCGATTAGCATCCTTAGGCCGCTTTAACTGGACTTTGAGGCGCTTCATGCCAATCTGGAAACCGTTCATGGCCTGGATGGCAGCCTGGGCGCTGGCCGGATTGTCGAAACTCACAAAGCCTAAGGTGAGAGGGTCATAAGGCCTGGCCCAGCCCCCCTCACTCCCCTGAGCTGAGGCCAAGGCCTACTCTTTGCTTTCCTGTAATCATGCTACTTTTTTCATGTCTCCCAAATGCCCAGAAACTGCCTGGCACACCGGAGGCTTTCAGTAAGTAGTTGTTGAGTGGATGAGTCCAGTCCACCTTCTTGCATACCCCAGGACCTTCCTTTCTGCATTCTTTGAAGGGAAGCCCCCTCCTTGGCCTGGATAGCTCAGAACCTGCCTTTTGAAACTTCCACTCCAGACCCTAAATGACCTTTGAAGCTCAGAGGACAAGTATGTCCCCTTTCTCCCCTGAAGCAGCCTTTCAAAGAACAAAGCCCACTAAACACTGCTCCCTAAGCCTTCCTTTTGAAAACTGAAGTACCCCAGCTCCTAAGCCTCTTCCAGTCCTCTCGGAGCATGGATTTGACCAGCTCTTAAAAGAGGAAAGATGTGGTTTCTGGAAGAAGGGATGGGCCTGGGCAGCAGCTGCTATGGGATATCAGGAGTGGAAAAAATGGTTCTTTCAGACTCCTGGATGATCTGGATTTCAAATACTGGGCCCATTGCAACCACATGTGCACGTGTGCATGCTAAGTCGCTCAGTCGTGTCCAGGTCTGTGCGACCCTATGGACAGTAGCCTGGCAGGCTCCTCTGTTCATGGGATTCTTCAGTCAAGAATACTGGAGTGGGTTGCCACGCCCTCCTTCAAGGGAATCTTCCCATCCAGGGATCGAACCCATGTCTCTCACAGTCTCTTGCATTGGCAGGCACATTCTTTACTACTAGTGCCATCTGGGAAGCCCCATTGCAACCCTAAGTGCCTTCAAATGCATCAGACCTTGTCCTTATCTAGAGTCTGGCCAAAATGTGCCCTATTTTCTCTTTTGGATCATTGTGTTCTTACCAAAACACTTGCTCTGATTGGTGGCTCTGTCAACAAAGACTTTGGCTGAGATGACGTGGCCAAAGGGGACAAACATCTGGAGGATCTCTGAGTCCGTGAACTCCTGGGGCAGGTGGTAGATGAAGATGTTGCAGCCGTCAGGGCCTGGGTGGCAGCAGAGACAGAAGGAGGCGCTCAGTGATGGGGAGACAGACTGCAAGGGGCCGGGGAAGGCAGCCCCCAACATGTAGGCCAGGGTGCCAGACACCGCATCTGTCTCCTGCCCACTCTCGTCCCCACGCATGGGTCCAGAGCTGGCCTTGGAGCCCACGACAAGGGCACCCCGCCCCTGAAAGCTCTTAGCTGGGACCCCCCCGCAGGCCACACCACACCTTCCCGTTGCTGCTGCTGCTGCTGCTGCTGTTGCTGCTGCTGCTGGGGGGGTGGCGGGGGCTGCTGGGCCACCAGAGCAGGAGGCTGCGGGAACGCAGGTGCCACCAGGCTGTAGGCTGCTGGGTAAGCTGCTGGGGGGCGGGGGTTGTGGAGAACAGACAGAGTTGATGGGGTTCCTGAGATGCCCCTGCCCCCGGCCCTCCTGACCAACCCTGTCCCTCTGCCCATAGCCTGGCTGATGGAGCTGACAGGGATGAGAGGTGTCAGAGGAGGGCTGCCTCAGACCATGCCCATAAAGGTGTGTCCTTGCAGGTCTGGCCTGAGGTCAGTCTGGGGGGGTGACTGGCAGAAAGCAGGAAGCCCACGCCTCTTTTCCTCTCGCCAACCCTTCCACCCTGGCTGAGGCCGGGGCTCCTCACCTGTATAGTGCTGCATCCCCGCGTAGGCCTGCTGCAGGGGGTCCACGGGGGCCGCGGGGCTCTGGGCTGTGGAGAGCAGCACCGACCATGAGAGTGGGGCTCAGAGGCAGCGGGGAGCCCCACCTGTGCTTCTGGGAGCCGAGGCCAGGCAGGTGGGGAGGAGAACATCATGGGAGGGCAGGGGGGTGAACCGACAGGGTGGACATGCACCGAGTCGCGGGCAGAGGGGAGAGCCTGGCATCAGCAAGACTTGAGTCGTGGCTGGCTATGCCACCTTGGACAAGTTGCCTCGCCTCTCTATGCCTCCGCTTCCCTGGCCGAGACGGGGAAGGAACATCCCTGCCCCGAGTGACAGAGCAGGAGGAAGCGCCTTGTCACCTCGGAGTCGGGAGAGGAAAGGGGGTCTGACTGCCTACAGTCAGTGGTGGGGGGGATGGCTGCTGGGGAGCGCAGTGGGTGGGCGGGCAGAGAACCCCACCTGGGTAGGGGTGAACCCCGTTGGGATATAGAGCGTCAGGGGCAGGCTGCCCGGTGGGCTGGGTGGGCACTGGGCTATAGCCGTTGACGCCCAGGGCAGCAGGGATGGCAGAGACGGGTGTGGCAGCGATGGCAGGAGGCGTGCTGGTTCCTGGGGAGGAGAAAGCAGCAGAGACAGGGCAGAGAAGCAGATACACACACACACAGAGGCAGAGAAACGGTCAACAAGTCTGGAGGCATAGGGGAGGAAGCAGGCTACTGTCTGACCCCTGACCCCTCCCAGACCCCACGCTTCTCCGAGCAATGCCCAGAGACCCCTCTCCACCTCCACCATGTGGAAGCTCCCGTGACCTGCCTCCTGCACGCCAGCCCAGCCCAGCCCTGCCTGGACCTTACCTGAGGAAGGGGTGATGGGGGTGGCAATGAGGCCGTTGGCATTGATGGCGGCCATGTGCTGCATCTGCACGGCAGCCATGGTGGCCATGGGGCTGAGGTAGGCACTATGAGCCGCTACCAGGGCCGCCTGCTGCTGCATCAGCTGGGAACAGAGGAAGAGAGGCGAGTGGGGCCCCTGCACCCTGGCCCGGCTCCCCTCTCCACCCTGGGCCTTGGCACTGGGGGGTGGGGGCAGGACCCTGGAGGGAGATGCTCACGGCCTGGGTGTAGGCGCTGTAGGCGCCAAACTGGAGAGCGATGGGGCTGAACATGCCCAGCTGGGTGGCCACCTGCTGCATTCGGCGGAGACCGCGCTCCTTCTCCGTGTCGGCAAACTTCACCACCAGGCTGGATGAGGCACCCTGAGCACGGCCCCACACGTGGTGAGAGGGATGGAGTCAACGTCTCTCCTCCCCAGAACCTTTAGGACCTGGCCTCAGTTCCACCATTCCTGGCTTGGCCTCTTTGGGAGGGCAGCCATCAGAGCGCCGATGTCAAGTGGGGAGGCTTTCATCCTGCCCTCCCCCCATGACAGGTTGTGCAAGAGACTAGGAAAAGTCGAGGAATACAAAACCATGTGCTGGAAAGGGGAAGATGCTCCCAGAATGCAAAGGGCACTCCTGGCCTCTGCATACAGATCCTGAGCAGGAAATCATCCCCAGGGTGGATCAGCTACAGCAAATGTTTAATCTCAAGCTCATCTTGCCTTGTAGCTACCCCCCGTGTCCTTGTAGCTGCTCCCCCGAGTCCCAGTCCTCACGGTGTCCTCAGGGGACACAGCTCGACATTGAATACCAGTCTACGCTATTAGTAAATAAAAACTAGCCTGGAACATTTGAAGGATCCTTGTAGAATCCTGGGCTCTGGAACACATTTCTCTATCTGATGCTGTATCCTCTAGCCCAGGTGCCTGCTAAGTGCCTGCTTGCCCAGCCTTTGCTGGAGAACCTGATGGAGTTTGGGGAAACCAAACTCCAAACTTCCTCAGGAGCTAGCTAGTTCCTTTTGAGGGGTTTGCTCTGCTGGGGAGCCGTAATCCACTGCTAACGTGAGGGGAGAGGGTGGGGCAGCAGGATGAAGGTGCGGAGGGCACGTGGGGCTGGGCCGCTAAGCAAGTGTCCTGATACCCAGCCAATGAGGGAGGGGGATGTGGGGGGGAGGAGGGAGAAGAGGTGAAAAGTGAAGAGGGCTGAGGGCTGGAGGAGGCTGGAGAGGAGGGCAAGGGCTTTTGGGCCGAAGATGGGGGATGGGCATGGGGACAAGGGGCAGGGAGATGGTCTTTCCAAGGGGAAGCTGTCCCCAAGAGGTTTGATTCTTCTGCTAGAAAATTCTTTTTAAAGAAATTCAAAGATCCTATCCAGAAGGACTGCCCTCTCTGAGCCAGGGTCTGGTGTGGGCCCAGTGAGGCTGCAAGAGGCCTGAGGGCTAGGGCAGTGGTGGGACTTACCGGCAGGGTCCGGCTGCTGTGAAGGGTGTTGATGGCCGCCTGGGCCTCAGCGTGGGTCTGGAACTTCACGAAGGCGCAGCCTGAAGAGTCCAAGAGGGAGGAGAAAGGGGTGAGTGCTCACCCTGGGGGTGGTGCCCCCATAGTCCCCATAGCCCATGGAACCAGTGGGGCAGGGGTGTCGGCGGGCTACCTTTGCTGGTGCCGTCTGAGCCCCGGAGCACAGTGACCAGTGGGGGAGGGGGAGGCGGCGGCGGGCCCGCGGGCAGGGGGAGGCGGCGGGCTACCTTTGCTGGTGCCGTCTGGGCCCCGGAGCACAGTGCACTCGTCTATGGTCCCGAAAGGCTCGAACATCTTCCGGACATCCTCATCTGTCTGCTGCTTCCCTAGCATCCCCACAAAGAGCTTCCGGTCTTCTGGCGGGGAGGGCATAGGAGGAGGGGCAGATTCAGGGCCTTGGGGGCACTTTCCCTGCCCTGCTGCAGCCTGGGACAGGCAGAGACCCCTTCCCTTCTCCCCTTCTCCTGCGCTCTTCCCAGGGACTCCCATCGCCCTGGGACCAATGGCTCTAGAGTGTGAAACGGGGATGGTTGAGGGGAGCCTACAGTTACATAGAGAGGACACCCCGGTTCTGAAGGACTGCCCTGTGGGCCTCAGTTTTGCCATCTCAGCAGTGGGCTGGATCACATCCCCTCTGGCCACCCTGACTCATGCCCATGTTTCCAAAGGTACAGAACCTACCTCCTCGGCTCTCGCTGTCGGCTGGCTTGACCTGGATTGGCCTGTTCATCTAAAGGAAAGAAGAGAAAGGAACTGCTGGGGACCACTTCTGACTGCCCCAGGCGCCCGCCCCAGGCCAGGACCTGCAGAGAGGCTAGAGGGAGTAAGCCCCAGGCCCAGCCCTCTAAACTGTTGGTGGGAAGGAAGGGATGGGGTTCAATCTTTTTTGGGATTAGGACCCGAGGGGACTAGAGGTCGAGGAAGGAGAGGATGTGGAAGGAGGATGCTCGTGGGGCAGGACTCCAAACTCAGGTTGGGCCCCAGATGATTTGGCCAAGGAGAGATGCTGCTCTCCTTAGGGGGAGAGTCGGGCTGCCCACAGGACCCGGGTCCTGAGATAGAGCCCAACCAAGGGCTATTCAGCAAGGCTGCCTCAGTTCTACAAAGTAAGAGCAGCAGAGGCCACCCCATCAAGCAAGCCCCAAGGAAGACTCTAGACTGAAGGAGACCCCACAGATGCTCCGACTTCCGTCTGACCCCTGGAGGTGTGTCTGCCTCTTTTTCTGGCCCCCTACACCCCTTGACCCCAGGGGGAAGGCACTCGGGCAGCACAAAGGGAGCAGATGCCCAGTCTCCGTGGCAACGGGAGAATGCGCGCCATGGCAACCGCCCACTCAGCCTGATTTATCCGTCCCCGTCGCCCTGGCGACCGTGGTGACGTCATCACTTCTGCTGCTCCACACACCCGGAGACGGAGTGGGGAGGGGGGTGGGAACAGGGTATGTTGGGGGTGGAGGATTTGGTGGGGGCTGAAAGGTGGGGGAGGGGCCCAGGAGAGCTTCCTGATTCTGGAGGGAGGCACTGAGTAGGCTCTACAGGAGCCATACTGTCCAAGCTCCGATCTTCCTCTTCCAGATCAAATCCTTGGTGTCTCACTGTCAAGACAGCTCTAAGGGAGAAATTGCTGTCCCGTGCGCCTTTGGGATTCTCTGGGTACCCAGAAGTCCTCCTGAACTCTACCCTCTCCCCATTTCTGCAGCATCTCCCTTTGTTCAGCTTCCAGTGGAGATGCAGACAGTTCCCTTCTCTGTGTTCCTGTCTGGTGAGAGGACTTGGGAATGACTCCTGCAGGTTGATTTCCTTCACCAGGGTGGGGAGCATCTTAGGAACTGGAGAGGTAGGAGAGGACTCAGTATTTCAGGTCTGAATATATTTTGCTGTTGAGGACTTTGACTATTGGGGCCACACCTGGTCACCCCACTCACCTGCTGGTGGAACAGCCCTTGTTCTAGTGGCCAAAGAAATAAACAGAAGTAACCATTCATCCACATTCCAAGGGTGGGACCAAAGTTACACTCAGGAAAGGCACTAGATAGACTTTGAGGACTGGCCCTGCCACTCACGAGCTAGGTGACCTTGGACATTTCTCTCCTCTAGGCCTCAGCTTCCTCATCTGTGAAATGGGATGGATCTGGTGGTCTAGAGTCAGGTTCCCCTTAGTCCTTGTATTCTAACTTTGAGACTTCATGTGTCAGCGCATCACCCAGAGAAGTGCAGGAATGATAGTTGTCCCTGCCCACTTCTCACATGCACTTTGTTCCCAGGTGGCAGATCATGCCAGTCTGTCCAGCTGGACTCTGCAGGTGAGGTATTCTCAGCTCCAGATCCAATCTAGGCCCCACCTCAACCAATGCTTCCTCCCTGTTCACCCCTCCCCCTAGTCTCTGGATCTGAGAGCAGCTGGTGGGGGTGGGTAGTAACAGACACACAAATCCTCTGGCCAATCTGCCCCAGTTTTATCCTTCAGCAATCTGGGATTATCCCATCGGAGGCTCAATCTCCTCAAGGGCGTGTGTGTGTGTGTGTGTGTGTGCATGCAGCAAGGGGTAGTAGTCAGCCACTCAGGCCTCTTGTTCTTTCACTCTCCTCCTCTCCTGTTCTCTGGTCTAAGCGACCAGGAAGTCCCCTCATGGGCATCTCAGCAGTCAACCTCTCAAGCCCCACTACAGGAGCAGTAGGACCTGAGTCACAGCACTGGAGTCACAGCTTTGGGGAATTCTTAGGCTTGGCACTAACCCCTTCCCAACAGGCCCCTGGGGATTTGCTGTTCTGGTTGGGGATGGGGAACCTGGGATCCAGAGAGAGAGAATGGTGTTCCTGCCCTGCAAGGCTCCCAGGCACAAAAATAGCATATCAATAAATATCCACAGCTGATATAGATTCGCACAAAAACACACAAGTGCACAGACCACAGCACAGACCACACTGACAGCAGGCTCTCCCCCACAGACAGACTTCTCCCTTGGTGGCCCCCAGAGCCCCATTCCCAGCCTCTCCTTCTTGGCCTGGCACTTCCTGTGGGAAGCTCTGCCTTTGTTAGCTCAGCTCGGGCACACCTGCCCCCTCCCCTGAGTCCAGCTGGGCCCTGTTTACCTGGCAACCAGGTGCCGGGTGCCTCTCTCCCCTAGCTACTACCCGCCAGGTGATAAGCCCTCCCCAGGGCCTCCCAGAGAAGAAGGGGCTATTTATTCTCCCACCAAGTATCTATAAGACCCCCACCAACATGGTCACTTGTAAGTAAGTCCTCTCACCAACAGCAAAGACCCCACTTCCAAGAAGAGTTCCCCATGCCCACAAATCTAATTCTTCTGAAGGCAGAGGCCTGGTGCCCTACCACTCCCAGCTCCAGACTCAAGCCCCGTGTCTCAGATCACACACAGGGCCTCTCCATGGAGCCATAATCCTCCTGCCCAACGGCAAGGTAAAGGGGGGACTCATGTCCCCGCCATGGGATTTTGGCCCAAGTAAAGCAGGAAAGGCAGGCCTTCACGTCACCAGCTCCAGGAGGCCACAGGGAGAATGCTCACAGAGAGAATTCAGGGTCCTGTGACAGAGCCTGTCCTGGGAACTCTTAGGAAGGAGAGAAGGAAATGGGGTTCCATGGCCATAGGCCCAGCTCTCATTCTTTCTCTCTGCAACATTAAGCATCACCCAAATATGGAGGCACCTTCCAGATTCTGGGGTGACAAAGATGGGGGAAAGGAGTGAGAGTAAACGCCCCCATTGAAGAAAAAACCTGCAGCAGGAGGCATGGAGATTAGACAGTAGGGGGAACTTCCCAACACAATTGTGCCAGAACTGGAGACTGAACACATACATACACTCATACACACACACACACACACACACACACACACACACTTGCACACTCATCTGAAGGAAAACACTGCTGCCAGAAAGGCAAGTGGCTGAGAAAAGACCTGGGGGGACACAGGGTCAGGCCGAGCTTGACTCCCCTAGACTGCCCTGGTCTGCTCCCCTAAAACCCCAACATAGGCCCCCCTACATGGGCCCTCCTTGGAGGACAGAATCCCTCATTTCCTACTAAAAGCTCTGTCTGGGGTGTCTGGATTCTGTCACCTGGCGCAGGGGCCAGAGTGAGAACTCAGCATCACCTGGGAGCTTGGGGCAGGGCTGGACAATTATTACTTGGGGTGCCCTCCTCACTCACCTCTGAGCCCAGGCCTTACTTCCTCAGGAAGAGGAGGCAGCACCTTTCTATACCCAGGATGGAGCCATGCTGAGCCACACAGGTGCCTGGAGGGGGACAGGGCCAGGGAGGAAGCCCCCTGCTGGCCTAGATGGCCCCGGGGCTCCTGCCCATCCCTGCCACCTCTCTCACCCATGACCCCACAACCCTGCTTTCTACCTCCTCCCTTGTTCCTCCCCATTCCTCTTTTCACAGGAACGCTGAGATGGGAGACAACAGAAAAAGACAGAGAAACAGCAATGGAAATGAAAACTGTTGATCTGTGTGGGGCCTCCACAGAAGAAAGAGAAAAAGGAGGGTCGTGAGGTCATGTGATGGAAACCAGGCTTCCTGGAGATGCTTGTGCCCAAAGACAGACAGACAGACAGACACACACACACAAGCACATACACACACATGAGCACACACACATACACATGAGCACACACACACATACACGTGAGCACACACACAGAGACGTGAGCACACACACACACATGAACACACACAGATACACATAAATGAGCACACACACATACACGTGAGCACACACACACACATGAACACACACAGATACACATAAATGAGCACACACACGAGCACACACACAGACACACATGCACATGAGCACACACACAGACACACAGATACACACGAGCACACACAGATACACACAAATGAGCGCACACACACACACACGTGATTCTTAGAACCCGAGCCTGCTCACACATGCCCAGATCCTTCACTTCATGGGCCATGGCTAGGATAAGGTAGTGGGTGCAGGCGGGGACCTGGCAGTGGATCTGCTTCCCTAGTGGTACTGAGGGTCAAAGGCCACAGAGGGTCACTGAGCTACGGAGGGTGTGAAGTTGGGAGTGATGGACAGTTCTGTTTCCCTGGATTCCCCCCACCCTCTTTCCATCTGTTTTGTCTCTTTCCCTCCCTGGAAGAGCTGGAAAAACAGGCTGCATCTCTATTTCCCACACAAGGGAAGGAGAAGGGGATGTGACAGGTGTGTCTCCAGCACTCAGACTGTTCAGCAAATATTGGCTGGAGGGAAGGATGGAGTTAGCTCTCAAGAGGTACTTTCCAGGGGAGGCCACAGAAGCCAAGAGATATGGAAAGGAAATGGCACATCCTTTCCCCCCAGGATGCATAACTGGGGGGGCAGTCTGAGAGTCTTTATTCTTGTCCTCACCCTCCCCCCACCCAGGCCTGGGACAAGCTGCAAGGATGGCTGAGAGGAAGACAAAGAGCTCTGACCTTGCAGGAGGGAGGCCACATTAGAGGCCACGCTGCCTCCCTAGGCACACTCGGTGGGGTCAGGCCGGGTCCTCCATGCTGATGGCTGCCTGCCCTTGCCTGTTGCCCCTTGCCCCCCTCCTCAGGGTTTACTTCCAGCCCAGGCCCAGCAGACCCTGATCCACCCTGATGCCCTGTGGCACTGTTCCTGTGATTTCTCCTGGGAGACACGAGGTGAGCTTGTTCGACCTCAGAAGTCAGCTCAGAGATGCCCATCCAGCGGGCACCAGCTGCTCATCTCAGGGTGCAAGCACCCTTCCCCCATCTCACAGTCAGATTTCCTCCCCAGAGCCAGAAAGAGCTCCTCCTGCCCCCCTCTGCCCTGCACTTGCTGCCCACAGTCTTCTCCCCACACCACCCAGCCAGCCAAGTCCTCCTTCTCCATGTGGCCCTAGGGGTGAGTGGGTGGGTGGGGAAAGGGCCGCCTCTGCTGCTGGCAAAGGTTATATTTACTCCACTCATCGCTATTTTCCTTCTATCTCAGTGAGAAGAAATGCATGCATCTTCAGCAAGGAGGAGGGGGACTACCGGGGAGGAAGTGACCTCCTAGTGACCAGAGGAGGTGGAAGATATGCTCAGGGTCTTGGGATGGTGGTGCCCCTTCTACGGCCCTTCTCAGCCCTCTGGCCCTGGAGTGGGACTCACCCCTGGAAGCGTCTTCTGTTCGTGCAGGGCGCTCTGGGCCTTCAGGGCTGAATCGCGGGCACAGTATGTCAGGAAGGCACATCCTGAGGAGGGGCAGGGGCAGAGAGGCCGGGTGGGGGTGAGTCCCCATCTCCCCTCCCTAAAAGGCTCCCCTCCCCCTTGAGCCTGAGGACTGGGGAGCTGGTCCCTTCTTGCTATCTTCTGCCTGCTGGGGCGGGGAGGTGCCTGAGAGGGGGTGCACGTTCTCCCCAGGAGTCTCTGGGCTGAGGAGCACAGGGCAGAGACCCCGAGACCGGGAGTCTTCCACGGTGGGGTGATGGAAGAGAGAGAAGCCTGGGCTGTCGGAAGCTGGGGCTTTGTGTGGGGGGAGGAGAAGGGGCATGTGATCTCCACACAAGTACGTGTCTGTGGTTTCCTCTCTTCCTTAGCTGGTCTTCTTTCCCCTTCCTCCTTCGCCTCCACCTCCCTCCATCTTGGTCATCACCCCTCCCCTCTCCCATTTTCCCTGTTTCTTCCTTTCTTTCCACCTCCGAGGGTGGAGAGCAGACTAGAAAAGGAAGGGAAGAGCGGGGCACAGGAGTCCCTGGGCTGGTGGAGGGGGAGGCAGTGTTGCCCCTTTGAACCCCACTGCCAGGGGCTCTCCAAAGCCTGACCCCGGACCTAACTGACCGTGGGCCTGACCCTGCTTAGCTGCACAGCCCTGAGGCCTCTCCTCACCCCCAGCTCCCGTAACTTCCCAGTCACTGCACTTCCCACAGCTTCACCAGCCCGTCATTCTACAGTCACTCCAGGCCCCTCTAGTTCTGGAGCTGCCCTGCCCAGTCCATGAACATCCATCCACTCTCTCCAGGTTGAGCACGTGACCCCGGGTCCATATCCCTGTCCCAGTAGTATCTGAGGCTACTAAGACTCTCATCTTGTGCGCGACACCTCCCTCCCACACACACCCCTGCCCACCTTCTGTCTCTCAAACCAGCTCTTTCGTTCCTCCATCCTTCCTTGCGTACACATCCACATCATCTGCCTCAACTCGGGGAGCCACACCTCTGCAGCCCCTTGACAACTCTTCCCCTTCCATGAGGCTCTCCTGAGTCCTCCACCTGGAGTCCCCTGGTCACCCGAGCTGAGTTCTCTTCTAGCTCTTCCATCCACACTCCCCATCCCAGGAACTCTTTTCCTTCCAGATCGGCCTTTTCCAGCCACTCCAGCCCTCCAGCCTGGCCTGTCCCCTCCTCCCAGCCCCCCAGCCCACTCCCTGAAGCCTCTCCAGCCTGGCCTGACCCCTCACCCTTGTGCAGCCCGGTGTACTTGTCCTTGATGACAGTCAGCTCGAAGATCCGACCGAACTGTTCGAAGATGGGTTTCAGGTCCTTTTCCTCCAGGTGCCTCGGGATCTGCCCCACAAACAGCTTGATGGCATCCGGTTCCTTCATCGGGGCGGCCCAGGAGAAGGGGCCGAGGGGAGCAGGGAGAGCCCGAAGGCCAGGGGGAGCTGCCCAGCAAGGAGGCGAGTGGCCGGGGCTGGGGCCCAGCCGGGGCTGGCTTTCCCTGTGGCCCCAACCACAGTGCTAGCAGAGGGGCAGCTCTTCACACAAAGGAGGCCCAGGGATTGAAGGCTAGGGGTCAGGGGTCTAGGCAGACACTGTCATGCCACCAGGGGGCATAGCCCAAACAAATGATCTCCCTCCCGGAGAGCTGGCAGGGATCCCAGGATGGGGGGCAGTGTGGCCAAGACCTGGAGGGTCGGGGTGGTAGCAGAGACACTGGGAACCGGGGGCTGAGATTGGAGCTGGAGGTGGAGGGCAGGGGGGGCCTGAGGAGGGTGACGGGAAAGGGGGCTGAGGGCTGAGGGTCCTGGTATGGTGGCCAGCGGCGCTGGGAGGGGGGCACTCCTGGTGTGGGGCAGGTGGAGTTCTCCTTGGCTTTCCTGGAGGACACCTCCCCTGTGGCTGGTCCTTCTGCTGGGTCCGAAGATCCCTGATGCCAGATGCTTGGTCTCTGATGGCGGCAGGGCTCCGGGGGTCCCTTTGGCCCTGCCGCCCCCCTTCAGGTCCTCCCCTCAGCCCCCCTCCCACCCCCACCCCGGTCCCCGGGCCTGGGCTGCTGCTGGCTGCTCCCGCCGCTGGGGCTGCCTGCTCTCCCGGTCACCTGGGTCCCGGAGCTCTGCTCTCCGGCCGCGCTCTCCTCAACAAAAACCTCCCCCCTCCACACCCCCCTCCCCACTCCCACCTCCTTTCCCCTGACATCAGTGATGTCAGTCTCAGGGGTGGAATACAAATTCTCTACCCTGGAGAGGGACGCACAATCCAGACAAGAGCCACGCCCTCTTTCTATCTCCTTCCTCCCTGACTCCTTTCCCACCCCCAGAAGAGCAGCTGGTCCTGTTGATAATAACCCTTCCCCCATTTTACTCCCCAATCACTAGTTGGGCAAGGCACTAAGATGGAGAATTTATAGAGGAGCCCTAAGGTGGGGTCCATTGTTCCGGGGGCTGGAGCTGTCCCCGGTGCTGGAAGAGAAGACCCAGGAGAGGGGAGTAAGGGGGAGGAAGAGAGGGGAGCCGGCGTCTGGGGAGACTGAGAGTGGGGAGCCAAGGAAAGAAATCAGGGGAAAGAAGAGGGCATAGAGACAGTTGGGCAGGTTAGGGGCGGGTGAAGAGAAGGGTGTAGCTGGGGAGGGAAGCAGGTCACGGAGCCTGGGGGAAAGGGCAGGAGGGACCCAGAGAGAAATATGGAAACAGGGTTGTGGAAGAGAGAGCAGGGTGGGAAGAGTGCAGAGAGGGAATTGTGTGTTTTCCAGAAAAGAAAGCAAGGAAAGCTGGCATCTGCTGACGCCCCCTTCTTGCCCTCTGGGGGGTTTGTGTGTAATAAGTGCGTGGGCAGAGAGGCAGCGCTGGTGGTGACAGCCGGTGGTGACAGTGTCGCCGGTGGTGACAGCTTTCTCACTGGGAGGCTCCTTGAAGACCAGGACACCATTTAATTCCCCATTTTACTGTTCACAGTGTCTAGCACAGTGTCTTACTCACACATAGTAGGAACATAACAAATATTTCTTGAAGAAATAGTCAACGCAAGGAACCTCTGATGAGAGTAGATTCCTGATTGCTTCAGTGGGAAGAATCACAACCGTTAAGCTCCCCTTTAGTGCAGAGGAGACCCAAACACTCCTTCCTTCTCCTCCCCCTGCCCCAGTTAAGTTCCCTGAGTGGGACTCTGAGACCGAGTTGGGTCGCACAGAAGCACACTTGGGGGCCAGTACTCCCCTAGACAGCCCTCCTGTAGATGATCAGTTTGCCTGATGATGTCGAAGGAGCTTGACCCCTTCATGCACTGGGCTTGCTCACAGTTCCTCCTCAATGCAGAGAGTATCTGCTGACCTCAAACCTCCTGGATGGGGCAGCCCTTGCCCGCCATCTGGTGCTCATTTACCAGGGCTCACAGCTTTTGCGGGACACCCTGCCTCCCATCACCCTTTCATCACCCCAGAATGAGGCTGCTGTCTCCACATCTGAAATTTGTCCCACCTGAATCCCAGCACCCCTTTTCCTAGGCTCTCTGGGCATGCCAGCTTCTATTCTGGAAAGGGAAGTAGTAGTAACACCACTTAGAGGGCTCTAGGTGTTGGTTCATGTGCTAGGCATTGTTCAAGTGCTTTATATTGACTAACTTGTTTAACCCTCAGCACCACCCTATGATGTAGGCTCTATCATTATCTTCCAGTAAAGATGAGGAAACCAAGGCAGAGAGAGATTAAATGAATTGCCTAAGGTCGTGCATTAGAAAGAGATATAGCTAGCTGAGAGCGGAGGCCAGACAGTCTGGTTTCAAATCCACAGGTTTAACTCCCCTATCACATCTCCTAGTGAGAATGTGGGGAGTGGTTGAGCCTGACTTTTCTTCCTCTTGTGTCTTCATCTGAGCCCTGGGTGAGACATATCCTTCCTTCTACTGCTCAGTCCTTCATTAGCCCCCTTCCACCCTTCCCTCCTGTGGCCTGAAGTCACATTCTGCCAGGTATGTATGTTTGAGAGAGAGAGAAAGTGTTTGTGTGTGTATAGACATGATTATACTTCATTGTATGAATGTCCAGGTCCTCCCTGTAGGGTCCTCTAAAGTGGGTGGGTGGTGGGAGATGGTAGAGGACCTCCTGACCACCATTCTGACCAGAGTGGTCAGAATACGAGATGGCAGTGCCAGGGAGTCAAGAGTGCAAACACATCTGGAAAGTAACTTTCCACTCACCTCCCCACCCCCACTGCTCCTTCCCTGGCCTCCTAATCTGATCTTGGTATTTATGGAGATGCTGAACAGATCCGCCCTCTGAGGACAGAGCCTAGGAAGACCCCAAGGCCCTGTTGATCTCATTACTCTGGGTCTTGTCAGCAGACCTGCCGCCCTGCTGCTCATTCAGGCTTGGGGCTAATCATATTAATTGAAATATTAAACATTCAGAAAAGCGAATTATAATGAACTCCGCTCACTCCTCCTCTCAGTCAGCAATTGAGGAGACAGCTGCAGGCAGCAAAATGTCTTCAATCCTTCGTTTAGTTTGCGGTCCCCAGATGGAAGGTTTCAATCTGAGAGGAGAGGCAGGGTTTAGGGGAGAAGAGGTGGGAGCTCTCTTTAGGCCCTAGTTGCTAGGTGACTTTGGGCACATCTCTGTTTTCCTTCCAGCCATGGGGGAGGGTATCCCTATGAGGTAAATGCTGGGGTGGGGGGTGTGTGTGGGGGAAATGACCAGAGGCCCATACTGGGGAATTGCTCTCCTGGAGGAAATGAGGCTTCCAGCTCCTAGTTCCTCCAAGGTACTTTCTCTTCCCACCACCCCCAAGCTCATCCTCTTTCTTGTGCTTTTGTGCTCAACATTAAGATGTCCTACATTAAAAGATTATTGACTTTATAAAGGGAGAGCACACTCCTGGTTTTAGATTCTTAGGAACTGAGAAGTGCTAAATAATTGGGATGCTTTTCAGAAAGGACAAAATGTAGTGATGGCATGTGTGGGCAGAGTGACTGGTCACCAAATACTTACTGGCCTCACTAGTTGAAAACAAGAGTGAAGACTTCTGCAGCAGAATCTATAAGAATGTACAGAGGGCACCAGCTCAGGCTGGACGCATGAGACAAGTACTCAGGGCTAGTGCACTGGCAAGACCCGGAGGGATGGAATGGGGAGGGGGCGGAAGGGGGGATCAGGATGGGGAACACGTGTGGATCCATGGCTGATTCATGTCAATGTATGGCAAAAACCACTACAATACTGTAAAGTGATTAGCTTCCAACTAAAAAAAAAAAAAGAATGTACAGAGAAAATTGATGCTATAACCTTGCTTCCCTCAAGTGGAGAGGTAAGACAGGCCAACACAATTTACAATAGTGAGAACTGACCCTTCACTCATGTGCATGCTCAGTCATATCTGACTCTTTGTGACTCCATGGCTTCTCTGTCCGTGGGGTTCTCCAGGCAAGAATACTGGAGTGGGTTGCCGTTTCCTACTCCAGGAGATCCTCCTGACCCAGGGATCGAACCCAAGTCTTAAGCATCTCCTGCATTGGCAGGTGGATTCTGTACCACTGTGCCACCTGGGAAGCCATTTGAAAAAATGAAAGTAGCTTCTCTCATTTCCACATATGTGTATTTGGGGTTTAGGCCATGGGATGTGGTCAGTCAAGAAAGGCTTGATTGATTCTCAAAGCACAAGAAGATCATAGCCTAGCAGAAGGAGGACATTAATCATTTTATGCATGAGGGTGGGGGGCGTGGAGGGAATTCTGCATGTATATGCCTATTATCTCTGTGTGTGTGTGTGTGTAGATTTTCCAGTCCAGGCCAGCACTGTTTACTATAATGCAAGCTATATACATATATATACATATATATATATAAATAATTTAAAAATTTCTAGTAGCCACATTAAAGAAAGTAAAAATGAAAAGTCTTTTCATAATATATTTTCTTTAACTGATATATTCAAAATATTATTCAATGAGTATATGATATATCCAAAATATTCAACATGTAATCAACATAAGGATTAATACTGAGATATTTTACATTTTTAAAATACAAAGTCGGACTTCCCTGGTGGTCCAGTGGTTGAGAGTCTGCCTGCCAATGCAGGGGACACAGGTTCAATTCCTGGTCAAGGAAGATTCCACATGCTGCAGGGCAACTGAGTCCTCAAGCCACAATTATGGAAACTCTTGCATCCTAGACCCCATGCTTTGCAACAAGAGAAACCACTGCAATGAGAAGCCTGAAGACAGCAAATAGAGAGTATCCCCCACCCTCAGCAGCTAGAGAAAGCCCACGCACAGCAACAAAAATGCAGTGCAGCCAAAAATAAATAAACAAAAGATTAAAAAAAAAATAAAGTCTTCAAATCCAGTAGGTATTTAGCACTTACAGCTCATCTAATGCAGCAAATTTCAGCCACAGGTGTCTGGCTATGACCACAGTGGATGGTACAAATCTAGAGGTTTTACTACTAACTTCTCTGGGGAGTGGGCAGGGGTGGGCAGAGACAGGTCTTGGCCGGGAGAATTATCACCTCTGATTAACCTCTGCTTCGGCCTAAAAGAATCACTTCCAACAGATGGCAGCTTATCTACCTCTTACTATAATTCACGCTCCTAAAAAAACAACCCAAATGATTACTAACCCAGATGGGGTTTCTGGGAAGAAGCTTTTAGGCCACTATTTAATCTACCTCTGGAGGTTTTCTCCTGGCTTGAGAACTGCCAATATTTTCACTTCTTTTCCTCAGTCTTTTTTTTTTTCTTTTTGTCCACACTGCAGCTTGCGATATCTTACTTCCCTGACTGGGGATTGAACCTGGCCCCAGCAGTAAAAGCACCAAGTCCTGACCACTGGACCACCAGGGATTCCCTCCTCAGTCTTTTCTGAAAAGCAGATGGCAGAGAGACCCCTCCCAGACCATGGCCTGATATTGGGCAAACTCTTTCCTTGCTCCTTGGGTGTATGTGCCACATGATGCAGTTGTTCATAAATCTGAAAAAACTGCCTCCTTTTGCGCTCTCTTCCCTGCCTCTCAGGCAGTCTGCTGGGCATGATCTCTGCGGGTGTAGAAACTCAGCACTTGTGTGTATTGTCAGACAGCCTCCTGCCCTTTCTAGGTGCTATTTTCAGCTCTCTGACTTTTTGTCTCACTTTCTCTTCTTAATTAGCTAGTAGAAGAACACATCTTGAAGACCAACTGCCTTTCCCCTCCTGTGCATCATTGGGAGTGGGAGACATGATTTAGAATTTATAAGGAGCACAAGAAAGTCAGTCCAAGATGGGAAACTTCTGGCAGGATGTCCCCAGGTCCTGTCCAGCATTTTTAGCCCGAGAATGTTCCTTCCTTTGTAGAACTCAGTTCATTCCTTGCTATGGGGTGCTTTCATGTTTTGTTAAGAACCCGATACTCCAGTGTCAAGTGTCTACAGGACAGATGGAGGGGTTTGGCTTCTGGGCCAGTGGAAAGGGAAGAAGCCTAGATTCTCCATTACTACTACTAAGGCTTTAAGTGAGAGGGTCAGGAACCAAATTCTGGGAGATACTGCCTTAAGGAATCCTTTTTCCAGTTTCACTCTTTTTTTTGGTTCAGTTACTCACTCGTGTCCAACTCTTTGCAACCCCATAGACGGCAGCACGCCAGGCTTCCCGGTCCTTCACCATCTCCCAGAGCTTGCTCAAACTCATGTCCATTGAGTTGGCGATGCCATCCAACCATCTTATCTTCTGTCATGCCCTTCTCCTCTGCCTTCAATCTTTCCCAGCATCAGGGTCTTTCTCAATGAGTCAGTTCTTCCAATCAGGTGGCCAGAATATCAGAGCTTTAGCTTCAGCATCAGTCCTTCCAATGAATATTCGGGACCGATTTCTTTTACGATTGACTGGTTTGATCTCCTTGCTGTTCAAGGAACTCCGAAGAGTCTTCTCCAACACCACAGTTCAAAAGCATCAATTCTTTGGTGCTCAGCCTTCTTTATGGTCCAACTCTCACATCTATACATGACTACTGGAAAAACCATAGCTTTGACTAGATGGACCTTTGTCAGCAAAGTAACATCTCTGCTTTTTAAGGTTTGTCATAGCTTTTCTTCCAAGGAACAAGCGTCTTTTAATTTCATGGCTGCAGTCACCATCTGCAGTGATTTTGGAACTCAAGGAAATAAAGTCTGTCACTGTTTCCATTGTTTCCCCATCTATTTGCCACGAAGTGTTGGGACTGGATGCCATGATCTTAGTTTTTTGAATGTTGAGTTTTAAGCCAGCTTTTTCACTCTTCTCTTTCACCTTCATCAAGAGTCTTTAGTTCTTCTTTGCTTTCTGCCATAAGGGTGGTGTCATCTGCATATCTGAGGTTATTGATATTTCTCCCGTCAGTCTTGACTCCAGCTTGTGCTTCATCCAGTCCAGCATTTCTCATGATGTACTCTGCATATAAGCAGGGTGACCAAAAAAAAAAAAAAGCAGGGTGACAATATACAGCCTTGAGGTACTCCTTTCCCAATCTGGAACCCATCCGTTGTTCCATGTCCGGGTCTAACTGTTGCTTCTTAACCTGCATACAAGTTTCACAGGAGGCAGGTAAGGTGGTCTGGTGTTCCCATCTCTTTAAGAATTTTCCACAGTTGTCTTTCCAGTTTTGCTCTCAAGCTAAAGAAAAAACGATTTGAGGTTGAGTGGGGTCAAGAAGAAGGGCTCATTTTCACACAGAGCCAAGCTGGAAATCCAGTCTCCAAATCTGGGGAAGGGGGTCCTTTAGAGTCCCTCTGGAGCTTACTCGCCGACTTCAGAAGGGCCCCCACGTTGCTTCTCTCAGCCCCGCCCCCTGCTGGAGAGGGCCGGGCTTGAGGGCGGGGCCAGGCTGGGGGCGGGTCCTCACCTGCTGTGCCACCCGTCGCCTTGACGACCGCGACAAGATGGCGAACCTGCCGGGCGCGATTAAGGGGCTATACCCCGAAACACTGAGCCCAGAGCAGCTGGAGAAGCTGCGCGGCTTCAAGGTGGGTGCGGTCCCAACTCCCGCCTCCATCGGAGTGCAGCTCCTTCCCGGGTGAGGGCCAGGCCTCGGAGAGAAGGGACTCGGGAGCCTGTGCCCAGATAAAGGGGCGGAAGGCTGGGGGATGGGGACACCTCCGGCGGACCCCTGGCTTCTGGGTCCTTGAACAGATCCCGACAGGCGCTTGAAAGTGCAAAAAGAACTACAATAGGAATGGACCAGAGAAATGGACCGAAGTGACTGCCGGATACTTTAACTTAGATACAAACAAGAACTTCCCGACTGTAGAGACCCGACTTTAGTTAAGGCGCCTAAGCCTGAGCCTGAGACAGCAGCACTGGAGATGTTAATAATCTGTGAGAAGAGAGATGGCTTAACTTTTCAAACATCCTGGGAAGAGACCCGGGTTCAGGGAGCCCCTTGTTTCCCCAAGCCCTCTGCACCTCCACCTGGAACCCTGAAATCTTTCTCTTCATGTAGGGTGACCTTTCGCTCTTGCCCCCCAGATTCAAACTCGGATTACTAATGAGAAGTACCTTAGGACCCACAAAGAAGTGGCGTTGCTCATAAGTGGTTTCTTCAGGTAGGTGGTTTTCCAGACTGGCCTTGAGTAAATAGTGGAAATTTTTACCAAATCTCGCTGGGGATAGATGAGTGTGAGTCACCTCCTCTTTGTTTAAACACTGCTTGTTGCTTCCTTTAGGGTCTGAAGATTAGAAACTATCCTAAGATCAAATGTTTCCTAATGCTGGGGCCTGTGACACCCAGGATTTTCTCGTTATTTCTAGAGGTTTCCTTCAGTTATCTCAAAAATATTAATATGCATTCATTTTAGCTGTGAGAATAAATATATACCTTCTGACACTTGGAAGAAGGAATTTGGCACTGAGAAACTCAGCAGACAGCTACTGGGTGTAGAACACTATTCTCCACAGTGGTATTTAACAAGATCATTAGAACTTAAAAAAAAAATTACAGATGTCTGGCCTTTCAGATGTACCAGAGAACATTGTTGTAGAAAGACTCCAAGGGTTGGAAGCCACTCCCCTGTAAGTCCTGGGGAAAAGAAAACCATTTTCCACCATATCTTGGAGACCTTTTCCCTTCCCCCATACTGCTTTTCAGCGTGGCATTTGCTTGAATGGGAAAATTTCCTAATGGGATGAAAAGCAAGGAACTGAGGGGGAAAAAAATCATGGCGCATCAATGGATGGAAACAATAGAGCCATCTCAGAAATACTGTTTGGCTACAGACAAATAGCCAAGATTTAAATAATAATGGCTTCCATCTCCAGGCACTGTGTTGGTTTCCTGCATTAGCAGTTATCACACTGTATTGTAATTGCATTGTCCATCTTTTGTCTCTCTCCCTGGACCAAAGCTCTAAGCTGGTGGAGCCATGTTTTTGTCCCCAGGGCCCACACAGTGTATGGCAAATTGGTACATTTGTGCTGATTCTCCCAGCAGCTCTACAAAGATAATTTATTATCAGTTCCATTTTATACATGAAGTACTTTCCCCAGGTGCTGAACCAGAATCCAAACCCCTGGTTTTTCCACTGTGTTTTACTATAAGCACGCAGGAGCTGGGAGCCAGAAGTGGTGCTCTCCTTTGTCTTTTAAAGATTTTTTTTTTGCTCATACTGGAGTGCATGCAGGATCTTAAGTTCCCTGACTAGGGATTGAACTCAAACTTGAGCCCCCTGCTGCAGAAGTGTGGTAACCATTGGACCACCAGGGAAGTCCCTGTCTTTAAAAGTAGGCCTAGAGGGGTGTCTTTCTTCATGCTTCATTGTTCTTCATATTTTAGCCGTTTCTCCAAATGGCAGTGCAGTCTCAGAGGGCAGAGAGGGGAAGGGAAATGGGCAGATGGAAACCTATCTGTGAAGTTTGGTTTTATTTGGGTTAGGGGTAAGGCTTGGCCAAAAGATCGATTAGGGGTCCTCTGACAGTGTCAGCCCTGGGGATCGGGCCATCACTTTCAGTACCTTTTCTTCTAAAGGGAGATAAAGGAAGACATCTATCCTGTCCTGGGGAGCTCACAATGGAGATTGGGAATAAATGGTAAAATCTGAAATATCTCACTATTTACAATGTTCACAGACAAAAGGATTAAAAGCAGTGGGGGTGGTGAATGAAGAGGGCATTGTTTTAGTCACATGGCAGGAATGGCCCTGCTTCTCTGCCCAGGAACAGTTTCCAGGAGTAGCCTGGCATCTGCAAGGACAGCCTCAGGCAGTTTTCCCCTCTCCTTCCTTATCATCCCCCTCTTGGGCCAGGTGGGCCACGAGGCCTCTCCTTTTACTGTCCCTCAAGCTCCTCTCATGGAACCCTCCTGGCCCTTTTTAGGCCTTTCTCTTTCTGGGATGGAGGTGGGAGGAACGGAGAAGTGTTTCAAGTTTGAGGGTTTGTTTTCGGGCTTATGTGTGTGTGTGTGTGTGTGATTGTTATTTCCTTTGCATGGTACCAGAATGAACCAGAATCAACCTGTCATCGTCCCTGGATGCTTCTGATGGTCCTTCCTGTGAGAAAAGAGGAAGGGAGAGGAGGGGACAGAGTCCAGGGCAGCATGCCTGTCCTCACCTGTGTGCAGGTCTCTGCTGTAGACTCACTGCAAGCCGTGAGAAGCCCCACAGTGTTTTTGTTGGGGAACTGGCTCCCCACTTGGCTTTGCTGGATCCTAATGATTTATGGCCATTCAGCCACCGCTTTCTGGTCTGTACTTATATATACAGTGTACGGAACTCTTCATACCTTGAATTTGGGAACTGAAAAATGGAAGGAGTAGGGATCTAGCCTATTTTTAGGCACCCAGAGATCTCAGGGTTTAGGCTGGAGATAGGAAACAAAGTGTGACATTGTAGGAAGGCTTTAGTAGGTGTTTCTGTAAACAACCAGGCAGATGAATCTTCCGAAACCATAGTACCAATCATATCATTCCTTGGCTGGAAAAAAAATCTGCAGTGGATCCACAATACCGCCTTAAAAAATTCAATTGAAATATAAAATATAAAAGAAAGTGGCATGAACTTTCACAAACTGAGAATACACATGGTACTAGTGTCCAGATTAAGAACTAGAGTCTGACCAGCACCTCAGACCCTTTGTGGCCCTTTCCAGTCACTTCCTCCAAAAAGTTAGTATCCTGACTTCTTTGTGTGTGTGTGTCCTGACTTCTAATTGCTCAGATTTGTATTGCCTTTCTGTATCATTTGAAAGTGAAATGAAAGTTGCTCAGTCATGTCTGATTCTTTGTGACCCCATGGACTATACAAGGATTCTCCAGGCCAGAATACTGGAGTGGGTAGCCTTTCCCTTCTCCAGGGGATCTTCCTGACCCAGGAATTGAACCGGGGTCTCCTGCATTGCAGGTGGTTTTTTTACCAACTGAGATGTGAGGGAAAGCCCTCTGTGTCCTTTGTATAAATGGAATTCCAAGTATGTGCTCTTTTGTGCCTGGTTCTTTTGCTCAGCAATATCTTGTAGCCCCTCCATGCTCCTTGCTTTATAATACTCCACGGTGGCACTTTACCCCACTTTATTTATTCATTTCCATCATCTCTTTTGGGCTTCCCTGGCGGCTCAGATGGTAAAGAATCTGCCTGCAATACAGGAGACCCAGGTTCAATCCCTGGATCAGGAAAATCCCCTGGAGGAGGAAATGGCAACCCACTCCAGTATTCTTGCCTGGAGAATCCCCATGGGCAGAGGAGCCTGGCGGGCTATGGTCCACGGGGTCGTAAAGAGTTGGACACGACTGAGTGACAAACAACATCATCTCTTGGACTGAGTAGGAAAGTCTCTCCCTGGTCTTTTAAGGCCGTCCATACCAGGCCCTCCTTCACTTTCCTCTATTTCCTGCGTGTGCCCCCACTCTAGCAAGACTGCACCCCTCTGGTTGTTTCACTGAGTGCTCTTCTAGACACTGGGGAAGCAAAAGTGGAGATGACCCGGTTCCTTCCTTGGAGGAGTTCACTGTCAACAGACTGTGAGCTGTTCCCTTTACTTTCCGGACCTTTGCTCCTGCTGCTTCCTTGTCCTGGAAGGCTCTCGTCTCTCAGCCCTTGTCCCGTGTGTAACTCAAGGATTCTCAAACACCAGATGCTGTGTGAAGACTTGGGGGGTCTTGTTTGAAGAGGCCGCCCTCTCTTCTCTGATCTCTCAGCACACTATTCCCAACCCTCCTATAGCACTACCTGAAGGTTAGTTGGTATTTCGGGAACTTACCCATTTCCTTGTGCTTGACTGTGCTTTCTTTGAGGTGAGGCTGTATTTATCTTTTTAAAATCAATCCCTCTTGTCTTATATAGTGACTTACACTTAATTTGTGCTCAGCAGTTCTCAAGTTGAAGGAAGAGAAGGGAAGCAAAATTGTTGAAACTTGGAAGGCAGGGGCCTCCTGGGCAGGTAGGGCAGCTGTGGCCACGAGGCTATGTTGCAGAACCCTGGCCTTGGAGCCACGCGACCTGAGGCTCCTCTCCTTTATTTACTCGCTTTATGAACTTGGGCAAATGGTCAACCTTTTGAAAGCTTGGTTTCTTCCTGTGTAAAACGGGGCACAGTCATTGCTGTTTCACAGGGTTGGAGAGTGAGGTAATATTTGTGGACCTGCTTTATGAGCCATAAAACTCCGTGGGATGTGAGGCAGTTTCAGCTTCCCAGTGGACCGGCACTGCGGGTGTCGTCACAGTGTCCATGGGCCTGCCAGGCCAACAACTGTCTCACGTCTGTCTTCTCAGCTTGGTTTCCTGCGCTCTCTCTCCCCACCCGTGGCAATTTCTGGTTGCTCTTCCTGGGAAGGTTGTGGGTGGCACACCTGTCCCCCCAACACATGAGACCCTCAGGGACGAGGCAGCGAGCTCTTCAGCCCTGGCCTGGCCTCGGTTTTGTGAAATGACTGTCGAGTGAATGACAGGCTTCACTTGGCTACAGCACTCGCTATTTCGTGAGCTGAGCATTCCCTAGGCTCCTTGCTTCTGGCCCCGGATCCTGGCTTGAAGGAGAATCACACCGGAAGGGGTCCTTGGCGGGAGGCCTCTGGCTCTCTGCCCGCGAGGACAGGTGTGTCTCAGGTCATCAGCCAACAGACAGCTCAGGACCTCCGCCCCTTGTTGTTTTCCAGAGAAATGTTTTTGAAAAGACCAGAAGACATTCAAGAATTTGCCGCAGGTGAGTAAGGCAGCATCCGTTTTGGGTGAGTGATCAACGCGCACCAGGAGTGTTCCTGTGAATTGCGACTCGGACAAGGCAGAGCCTGGGATACCACTTCACCTGATGTCTCCCGAGGGAGCTTTTTTCAAAACTCTCTTTCCTGCATGTCATTTCCTCAGAATGAGGACAGATAAGAAATGAGGCAGAACTTCCTCGTGGCAAAGATGGTTAAGAATGTTGAGATTCCCAAAGGGACAGACAGGCAGCTCTTTTCCTGGGAATGTTTTTTTTTTTCTCTCCTGGGAATCTTAAAGCAGGAGTCTCAGCCCAGGCTGTGCATTAAAGTCACCTGGGGAGATTTTAAAAAATACGGATGATTTCTGGTTGCTCTTCCTGGGAAGGTTGTGGGTGGCACACCTGTCCCCCCAACACATGAGACCCTCAGGGACGAGGCAGCGAGCTCTTCAGCCCTGGCCTGGCCTCGGTTTTGTGAAATGACTGTCGAGTGAATGACAGGCTTCACTTGGCTACAGCACTCGCTATTTCGTGAGCTGAGCATTCCCTAGGCTCCTTGCTTCTGGCCCCGGATCCTGACTTGAAGGAGATCACACCGGAAGGGGTCCTTGGCGGGAGGCCTCTGGCTCTCTGCCCGTGAGGACAGGTGTGTCTCAGGTCATCAGCCGACAGACAGCTCAGGACCTCCGCCCCTTGTTGTTTTCCAGAGAAATGTTTTTGAAAAGACCAGACGACATTCAAGAATTTGCTGCAGGTGAGTAAGGCAGCATCCGTTTTGGGTGAGTGATCAACGCGCACCAGGAGTGTTCCTGTGAATTGCGACTCGGACAAGGCAGAGCCTGGGATACCACTTCACCTGATGTCTCCCAAGGGAGCTTTTTTCAAAACTCTCTTTCCTGCATGTCATTTCCTCAGAATGAGGACAGATAAGAAATGAGGCAGAACTTCCTCGTGGTAAAGATGGTTAAGAATGTTGAGATTCCCAAAGGGACAGACAGGCAGCTCTTTTCCTGGGAATCTTTTTTCTTTTCTCTCCTGGGAATCTTAAAGCAGGAGTCTCAGCCCAGGCTGTGCATTAAAGTCACCTGGGGAGATTTTAAAAAATACGGATGCCTGGGCCACACCCCCCCCCCCACCGGGTTTTATTTAATTAGTCTGGGGTGGGGCCTGGCATCCATGGTTTTAAAGGCTCCCCAGGTGATTCTAATGGGCTCCCTGCCCTGAGAGGGCTTGAGGTCAATGGTATTTAAAGGGAAGGGGCTAGGCCAACTGATTTCTCGGGTCCTTTTAGCCCTGGGAATCAGTTACAGCCTCACAAGATTCCTGATTGAATCTAAGTACGTCTTTGCTGCCACAGCAGATGCTGCCTCTGATTCACATTAAGCTGGGTGTATAAAAATCCTCCTCTGTCGTCATCCTGCAAGAGCCTGGCCCTCCTTGGAGAGGATATTCTCAGAGAGGGCGTGATGTCTCAGACAGGAGCCGGCAGGCCGAGTAGAGACAAGAATAACACTTGGTATTTATTTGGGCCCCAAGATGGGCCTGGAGCAGAAAGCCAGAGACTCATCAACCCTCTAACGGCTTCCTGTGCGTCAGCAAGCTGACAAGCCAGTGGCAGGGTGGTGTGGTGGGGACCGGGGCCACCCCGTGTCCCCCTTCCCAGGAACTCTGGAGCTGGAGGCTCAGAAGTGCTGGGGGTCGGGGCAGTGCAGATGGTGACCCTGGAATTTGCTGTGACATCTCATATTACATCGTAAAACCGAACTGCAGGAACGTCCTGCCAAGACAGCTGTCCTAACTTTTTAGCAGAGTGAGCTGTCTCTCCCCTCATCTCTTCCCCTTGGGTTTAGATGATTTCTTCTTTTTGATTCTCATCCCAGACTATTTCACGGATCCACGACTTCCCAACAAGATTCACATGCAGCTAATTAAGGAGAAGAAAGCGGCTTAATTAGCAAAATCACGATGCTCAGCTGTTGAGAGAGACCAGAAAGAATCCAGCCTCTGGTGGGTGTTAACCTCACTTACAGACAGAGGCTTCTTCACTCCTGTGAAAATAAGCACTGGCTTCTCGGCCTGGGGTGTGAAAGAAACCAGTCTGCAGAGAAGTTTCTGCAAGTGTTGAGTTTTCCTGACACTACCTTGGGGAATTAGGGGCTGTGAAGAGAGGCCTAGGGTTTGTCTGGCATATCTGTGGCAGAGACATCCATCTTCTTAATCTAGTGACGTGGTTGAGGAGAGTGGAAGTTGGAGTAGTTCTGGAGAAAGAGGGAGGCAGCGAAGCGGGGGTGGGATCTGTTACCACAGGCTTCCTGTGAGCCTGTAGTGGCCTTTTCCTTGTGTCCTTGGTGGTGGGAGTGGAAGGGCTTCCCCACTGCTTCTGGAAGGGGTGGAGGCCGTCTCCCTCACAGCATTTGGATTGGGCATCCTCCCATCCCCATCGTCAAGCCAGGCTACCCTATGAGGGCCAGCACATATTTTCCAGGCAGGCTTTCTGAAATGATTTGGAAGGTTGGGATTTTTAAATGTGAGGTGGGAAGAAGCCACAGTCCTAATTTAGCAGCACCATTTCTTTTTTTGCAGGGTCATCTGAAAGCCAGAGAGCTCTGTTGCCCTCAGTGTGGGTTTCCAGGCTGCCCTGGGCTGCGCCTGCTGTTGCAAAGGCTTTTAAAGATACTCATTAAAAGCAGACCTTCCTGTGCTCTCTGCTTTATTTCAATCAGGAGGAGGAAGACATCCTTCATGGGAGGCTGCTCTACCCCTCCTCTGACCCGGGAGGTAGCAGGGCCTGCTTCTGTGCCCATGGCAGAGGCCTCTCAGCTCAGCCAGCGGGCTGGTTCATGTGCCTTAGCCCCGTGTACTCCCTGCCCCTCCAGGCTCTCCCTCCCAGAGCCAAGACCGGGCAAAAGAACAGCGGTGAGCATCTGGGGAGGACCACAGCTGGCCATGGTGGTACTCAAACAAGCAGAGTCCGCGCTTCCGAGGTGGCTTTTGTCTTTTATCTCACCTCCGGGGTTACTGTACAGAGTACAGGTGATGATTAACTTTTATTTCCATAGAAGCAATAATAAGAGGAATTGGGTTGGAAGAACAGCAGGAGTGAATGAGATTAGACATAGAAAACCCATTCAGGCTCATGAATAAGAGTGAGGGGCTCAGAGGTGGTGGACTTTGTTTTGGGGGATTTTTAGGAACAAGCTGCCCAGCCATTTCGTTTTCAGCAGAGAGAGGCAGGAGAGTGGGCCAGCTGGCCTTGTGGAGTCCTTTCTAGGCCTAGAAGTTTTGCATGGATGTGTCTACGTCTCTGGCCTCCACGACGTACTAACTCCACTGTAGGAAGGACCTCCCACTTGCGTGTCACTTGTCAGCTTACCATGGTTACAGAAACACCAAATATTAATAATACAGACTGAAGCAGGGGCTGTATTTATATTTGCCTTGTCCCTGCTGCCTTGCCCCCAGCTACTGTCACCTGAAGTAGTAGAAAAGGCAACCAGATGGGGGCAGTTAGAGAAGTGTTGGTCTTCCCTGGTGGCTTAGATGGTAAAGAATCTGCCTGCAAGGCCAGAAACCTGGATTTGATGCCTGGTTGGGAAGATCCCCTGGAGAAGGGATTGGCTACCCACTCCAGTATTCTTGTGTGGAGAATTCCGTGGAGGAGCCTGGCCTACAGACCATGGGGTCACAAAGAGTTGGACATGACTGAGTGACTAACACAGAACTATTAAAACTGCAGATATGCTATGCGATAGGAACCTGAGGAGTTATTTTAAGTGCTTTCAGAATCACAGTTCAGCAGCCGTGGATCTGATAATGAGCTATCCCTGTTTAGAAAATCCAAGTGAAGCTATCAGCCAAACACATCCACTAAGGACCCCTGATGTGAAGTGTTACATCAGACATTCTCCGAGCCTTCTGTGGGAGAAGAGACCTGCAGCAATGTGAAGAGAGAGCAGAGTGTTTCTCAGGGTGCTCGAATCCGTGATTTAATACTGTGACTGTACAACGGCCCGTGATTGGGGAGTTTCCTGGTAAAAAGAAGAAATGCATTCCACTGAAAATACATTTGAAAGCCTTTCTGAGTAAAGAATGCACTTAACACAGGTCGTAGTGTGAGACCGTGTGCTAGGTCCTGGGGATAAAGTGGCGATCGTCCCTCCCTGTAAGGGGTCAGGGTCTGGGAGACTGGCCGCTCTACTCCCCAAACCTCAGCTGTCTACCTGTCTCACCTTTTAGGTCGAAAACTCCACCAGGGCAGGGACCAACCCTAAAAGGCGATCTTGTTCACGGTTGAGTTTCTGACTTCCTGTCAGTGTCTGAATACAGCAAGTGCTCAGTGTGTTTGTGGAGAGAATGAATGCTTGTATAATTGAGTGACCAATCCCATCGTGTGCCTATGATGGTAGCAGGAGCGTGATGCCCGAGATGGCAGAAGAAAGAACCCCTGGTCTGCCTGTGGAGTGAGGGAGGCCTCACGGAAGCTGGCATGTGATGGGTAAGAAGGGGTTTGCCCGCAGACATGAGGGAAGAGGCCTGGGGCAGTCAGGCTATCTTGGTGTTTCTCTTCTGCTCAGCAGGGTGCTGGTGGCCTGCTGATGCTCATCACCCCTTTCTTCCTTGCTTCCAAAGCAGAAGAGGGCAAAAGAGGAGGGGAGGGGAGCAGCTTTGGCTCAGTCCCAAAACAATGTCTTCTGGCCCCTTCCTCCCTGACTCATTCTCCACACATCGCAGCTAGAATGATCTTTTAAGAAACTTAAATAAGTGTTACTTTCCTGCCTAAAACCCCTTGGTGGTTCTCCATGCACTTAAAATCCAGATGCCTTTCCCAGGACTACAAAGCCTCACAAGTCCCTCACCTTCTAAGACATCCCCCTCTTCTCTCTTCCTCCCGCCTCACTGGGCTCCAGCCTCACCAGTTGTTCCTGTCCTCCTCAAACATGCCGAGGTTGTTCCCACTGTAAGCCCTTTGAACTCTGCCTGGATTTCTCTTCCCCAGAACCTCATAGAGCTAGTGATCCAAGCTGGGGTGCTCTGTGCTGGAGGGAAGAGTCTGCTAAACAGACCGGCCATGCTCTTCTCACGGAGGGCAGCCTCTCTGCGGCTCCCACCTTTCCCCCCACGGTCACAGGAAAAGCAGGAGGACCTGGAAGGGACTTGCCAGTGGTACTTGCCTGTCTTTTCAGAAAAGCAGAAGCTTCCTCAGGACACCCCCTTCACCGCCCACCACCCTCGCCCCGCCCCGCCACCTTTTATCACCATCTTGGCCAGAACTCTGTACGTGGCTCCCTCTTGAATGGTGGCTGGGAAACTCAGGGCTTAGCTAGTCAACAGTGCCCTCCGTAGCTTCTTGTCACTTCCTCAGAGAGTCTTTTCCTGGGGATCCAACTGAAGTAGCCTCCCCCAGACATTTAAAAATCTTTAATTAAAGTACCACATCACTGTTTGTTTTCTTTTCAGCACCTACCACTGTCTGATAGTATCTTGTCAGCTCGTTTTCTTGCTGCTGTTTGTGGCTCAGGAATGTGAGCCCCAGGGGAGCAGGCCTTGTCTGTCGTGCTCATCACTCCAAGGCCAGCACCCGCAGCACTTGCTTGGATGGGTGGATGGTGGTTAGAAGCCTAACTGTATGTACCATGAAGACTTGATTAAGGCAGTGGCATGAAAAGAAATGAATCCTAGTTGTCTTTAGGGGGAGGGATTGCCTAGGCTTGTGATTTGAATGGGGTGGAGTTATAAGGGGGGGTGGTAGATTCTAGACTGACTTCCAGGTTTCTTGTGTGGACAAGGAGAGGGGTGAGAGGATCATTTACATATGCAGAAGGGTTGCATAAGGGGCGGAGGAAATGGCGAGATGGATTTGCTCTTTGGCTGTGCTGCATGGCTTGTGGGATCTCAGTCCCCTTGCTAGGGATTGAACCCGGGCCATGGCAGAGAAAGCACTGAATCCAAACCATTAGACCACCAGGGAACTCCCCAGGAGATGAATTAAGACCAAAAGGTTTCCACCAATGTGTAACTGGGTCGTGGGTAATACTGATGGTTAGCTTCAGTGGGGTTGGCAGGAGTTTGACTGCAGTGGACATAGTAGCGATTGTGAACTGAGGATGTGGAAGTGGATGCATGCTCCCTATGGACATGACCTTCTCGGAACATGGCCGGGAGGAGAATGGAGGAAGGGCAGTAGGTGGAGAGGCAGCGTCAAGGGTGGGCTTTTGTAACGGGAGATGCTGAGCATCCAGGGATCTGACGGCTTCCATTGCTGCAGGTCTTTTAGGCTAAAAAATGTTCGGAGCATGTCGGAAACGTCAGATGGGCCCTGACATCCAGAAGTAATGGGGACTAATGGGCAGGCCTGACTTTGCCATCATGTGACCCAGGGCGACCTCCGTGTTTCTGAGGAGTTTTCTCATCCTCATAATTGGAGCAGAAGCTCTCATGGGCTTGCTCTCCTCACTGGGTGGGAGGGCAGGGCTGGGCCGGAAAGCTCGGCTCTCGTCTCACTGGATGGGTCTCTGCTGCCCTCTCCCGGGTGAGACGCCACTCGGAGAATGCCCGCTCCAGGCCCAAGCAGTGAGCAAGAGGAAGAGGAGCAGGGCTAGGAGCTGGGAGCATGTTCACACGTTCCCAGATCCCTGTATTAGAAAGTTTATTAGAAGTTGCGAAATCAGGGCCTTATCTTCAGCAGAGCTGCTGCTTTGATGTCTCCTTAAAAGTGTCAGAACGAAAGGTTGCAAGGTTGATTATTCATTCATTTATTTGTTCACTTATTCACTATTCAACAAATACGAGGGTACATTATATAATCAGGATGCAAAGTTTTGGAAATAAGATACACTCTTTCCCTCAAGGAACCCATAGTCTAGAGAGTACCCATGGATTTGTGGATAATTACAATCAGTTTCAAAAGTGAAATGATCAAAGGGCAAGCCGTTGCAAGAGCACGGGAGGATTGGCCAGAAAACATTTCCCAGCATGTGGAGCTAAATGCTAACAGATGATCAGGTATCAACAGGCACCAAGTTGCTGCCCAATATCATATCTCCCCATGATTAAATCTGAAGGGCAAGTCTTGTTTCTTCCAAGCAGACTTCTTTCTGAATTCTTTCCTCACTCTTATCTCTGTGCTCAACAGTCTTGTAGGCCCTCGGTTTTCCATAACTGTAAAAAATGGGACATACTACTAGATCTGACCTTTGAGCATTGCTGTCATCATGAATCTGAGTTCTATGGATGGTAACATTTGCTTTGTAAAAACAACTTGGGAGCATGCTAGCACATTCATTATAGACATACAAACCCAGAACATTTTCAGCATCCATGGGAGGATTCTGCTTTACCAGAAAGAACCAAATGTGCTTTGCATACAGTAGCCTTTCCCTAAATGCTTGTTGAAAAAAAACAGGCTGTTGGCACTGATAAAGTATTCCTGTTGTCCCCGTGGGTTGCTGAGTTTCATCTATAAGGGGGATCACGTGTCTCTTGTGGACTTGTGTGGGGTGCCGTTACACTTGCAGGCAGCATGCCCATAGTAGGGCTCGGAGTCTAGAGCCCCTCAGCCCTGGCCTGGTGGCGGTAGGGCCACAGTGTTGTCTGTGGTGTTTGGCTGGAGTAGAGCAGTTAACTGTCTAAAAGGTTTTTTGCTAAGGCTGCTCCTTTGCTTCGACTCGGAGCAGGCTTTTACTGAGGCTTATTATTTGTACTTTTATTTGTACCCCAATTTGGCCTTTCCAGGTTGCTGGTTCTTTAAATCTGGGATAAATGAGGCAAAAAGAAAATCCAAGGGCTTCACTGCAGTGTTGTTCCTTGGGTCCCACCATTCCTAAGCAGTATGCTTTCTTCTTGCCACTTCTCAGTCGTCTTTGTTTCATGTATAATTTCTAGGATTTGTAGTTGTACTAGGAATGGTGAGAGTATATTTACTCCACCGTCCCCCGAGGTAGAAGTTCCATCAGCGTATTTTTCACGTTAGGTATTGTATTTTCCATCTCTGAAAGTGAAAGTCGCTCAGTTGTGTCCGACTCTGTACACTCCATGGAATTCTTCAGGCCACAATACTGGAGTAGGTAGCCGTTCCCTTCTCCAGGGGACCTTCCCAAGCCAGGAATCGAGCCGGGGTCTCCTGCATTGCAGACGGTTTCTTTACGGCTATCAGGGAAGCCCCACTAGAAGGAAGTTCCATCAATGTATTTTTCATGTCAGGTATTGTATTCTTCATCTTTAGAAGTTCCATTTGGGTCTTATATTCTCTCATTATAGTTTTGTTTGCCTTTACAGCCGTAAATGTCTGAAGCATATTTATAGCTGTTTTAATTCCACCATCACTGTCATTTCTAGGAAAATTTCTCTTGGTTAGAATAACGTTTTCCTGACTCTCTTTATGTCTTTTTTTATGGTAATATTTGATTGGCTGGCTTGGTGGTAAAGACTCCACCTGCCAGTCCAGGAGGTGCAAGAGACGTGAGTTTGATCCCTGTGTTGGGAAGATCCCCTGGAGTAGAAAGTGGCAACCCACTCTTCTTGCCTGGAAAATCCATGGACAGAGGAGAAGCCTAGTGGGCTACAGTCCATGGGGTCACAGAGAGTCACATATGATTGAGCATGCATGCATACTGACTGGGCATCAGACATTGGGAATTTTGTTTAGTGTCATATTTTATGTTTGCTGCATCTTTCATGAGTGTTGGTCTTGGTTCTGGTATGCATGGTTATCAGTATGATCCTTTCAGGGCTTGCTTTCAAGCTTTGCATGGTGGGTCCAGAGTAGCCTTTATCCTAATGCCCTTTTGAAGACTCCACCTGGTGCTTTATGTATTATAAGATCTACCCACACTGTCAGGAATACAAACAAAGCATTCCCAGTATTGTGTGTGGGAGCTCTGAGAACTGTTTGGCTTACTGTCTTTTGGTTTTCCCCACTTCTCAGCCTCCTGGTTTCACCCCACACATCCAGAGATCAGTATTCAGACCAAGGTTTGAGGGGACCCCTCTGCAGATCTTCAAAACTCTGGTCACTCCCTCATCTACAGTGTTCTGTTTCTCAATTTCTAGTCAGTTTATCTTCATCAACTCTAAGAGACCCCTATTATAGCAAGGAGGTGCAACACTGGGTACATGACCACAGGATCTGTGGTCTTATCACATACCATACTATCTAGAAGCAACAATGGAACATCTTCGAGACAACAGCTTGGAGACGACACCCTGTAAAGATGAGATACCACCCTCCAGGATACAGTTTATACCCTGGATCAACAGACAACCTAGAGTGCTGTCCCTAACTAAAACATATAGGTCTGGGAAACTGGGTTGGGTGTAGGAGCAGCCCCCTTTACCATCACTCTCAGTGACCCACCTGGAGGAAATCATGCCTCCAACTCGGGGCTCTGAATATTTAGAAGTCCTGCTTCACAGAAGGGGAACAGTTTTACTAGTGGACACACTAAAAATATCATTACCTTTTAAGTTAGGGCTGTCACCAGATTTAACAGAGAGTCACATATGATTGAGCATGCATGCATACTGACTGGGCATCAGACATTGGGAATTTTGTTTAGTGTCATATTTTATGTTTGCTGCATCTTTCATGAGTGTTGGTCTTGGTTCTGGTATGCATGGTTATCAGTATGATCCTTTCAGGGCTTGCTTTCAAGCTTTGCATGGTGGGTCCAGAGTAGCCTTTATCCTAATGCCCTTTTGAAGACTCCACCTGGTGCTTTATGTATTATAAGATCTACCCACACTGTCAGGAATACAAACAAAACATTCCCAGTATTGTGTGTGGGAGCTCTGAGAACTGTTTGGCTTACTGTCTTTTGGTTTTCCCCACTCCTCAGCCTCCTGGTTTCACCCCACACATCCAGAGATCAGTATTCAGACCAAGGTTTGAGGGGACCCCTCTGCAGATCTTCAAAACTCTGGTCACTCCCTCATCTACAGTGTTCTGTTTCTCAATTTCTAGTCAGTTTATCTTCATCAACTCTAAGAGACCCCTATTATAGCAAGGAGGTGCAACACTGGGTACATGACCACAGGATCTGTGGTCTTATCACATACCATACTATCTAGAAGCAACAATGGAACATCTTCGAGACAACAGCTTGGAGACGACACCCTGTAAAGATGAGATACCACCCTCCAGGATACAGTTTATACCCTGGATCAACAGACAACCTAGAGTGCTGTCCCTAACTAAAACATATAGGTCTGGGAAACTGGGTTGGGTGTAGGAGCAGCCCCCTTTACCATCACTCTCAGTGACCCACCTGGAGGAAATCATGCCTCCAACTCGGGGCTCTGAATATTTAGAAGTCCTGCTTCACAGAAGGGGAACAGTTTTACTAGTGGACACACTAAAAATATCATTACCTTTTAAGTTAGGGCTGTCACCAGATTTACTTCCGATCACTACCAAAAGACAGTGAGGTTAAGGGAAGGAATCATTAACCCGGCAGGAGTAACTGACTCTTAACCATCAGGAGGCAGGGCTGCTGTTACACAGTGGGGACAAGGGAGCGTATACTTGGCACCTAAGTCATCCACTCTTGCCTAATTTGTATTATAAACGGACAAGTGTAGTCATGGCCCGAGAAGGTAACCCATTTGGGCCAAGAGAAGTATAAACTGGGGGGATGTGGGGAAGAATCTAGAATGGGTAGTTGAAGAGGAAATAGGTATCAGTTGTAGACTTAAGCTCCAGCAGCAGGGGCTATTGTCTGTCCCAGATCTTCCTTTTGTTTTCCCAGAACCCGAAGGATCATTTTAGGACTTATGAAGCAAATGGGTCTGAAGAGCACAGGAAGTGGACTGTAGTGGACACTATGGTGTGCTGCCCTGACGCCTGCCTTCAGCACCGAGGCACTCATTTCCCAGGCTGCTGAGAATGCATACAGCTCTCATCTATGTTCCCCCTGGGAACTGCCTGTGCCTGAAATTAGTCACCTCACCCAAGAGCCTCTCCTGGTCAGTGTCAGGATTCACAGATCTGGCCACTTGCCTAAGTGGTACATATCTCTGTAGAGCCATTCCTAGCTTCAGCCTCCTGTGGGACTAAGACCTTTGCTGAAACTGCATCAGCTCAACTTCTGTCTCTACCTAACCTTGCTTCCTTCATTCCCCAACAGGTGTTAATCTAGAGGACTCCCCCCAGTAAACCTCACCCACATCACGGTTTTGCCAAGAACTCACCTTATGACAAGTATTTAAACACTTTTTGAGATTAGCTGTGTGGAATGTTGTCTGTTGCTCAATTTCAGAGAGCTTCAACGTGGTGATGATGGTGGTATGGAATGATGCAGTGTTAAATGACCTTTCCATTTCAAGGACAGCAGGGATTGATGCAAATTTGACAGTAGAACAGCAAATTTCAAAGAATACTAGTGCTCGACCTGAGTTATGGAATTCTGGAAAGTATGAGGTTGGATACAGATAAAAGTGCTGCAACCATAATGAAAGAACTCTTATTAGCAAGGATGGCTACATGTGGATGAAAGTAGTTAACTGGCTTGGCAAGGCAGGTGAGCTCAAACAGGATAAATCAATTTCTCTGAGCTTCTGGTAAGGGTAGCAAAGAGTCAATGGTCTTGTCTTTATCCTTCCTAAAAATCTCACATTTGAGTGACTCCAGCCCAATCCACGTAACAAGAGTTGGTCTTTCTTCCAGGAATGAACCTTGAATTTATGCAGAACTATCTACTTGCCTCATCTCCCAATCCATAATTACTTATGAACTAGCCCCACATCTTAACCTTTGTCTAGAAACCAAGGTTATTTTCTTATTCAAAATTTTAGGAGTTCCCTTTTTAAACTTCTTTCATTCCAGCTTTATTTTCTCCAACAACTGTCCTTAGGCCTTATTCAGATCTCCTTAGACAAGTAGAATCCATTGTGCTTATTTGCATTGAGGACTTTATTAATATACTTAATAAGTTTTAAGACCATAAGGCATATCAGCTTGTTGAGTAATTTGTCCATAGCAACTGTGGGCTACAGCCCACAGTTCTTTTTCCCCTTTTAGCAGCAAACCCCAGGGGCTTTCCAAGAGGACATTCCACTTGGAAGTCCTGTCCCCAGTCTACTCAAGTCAGTAAACAACACCTAAAAAGAACACAAGCTTTTTATTTTTTCTTAGATACAGTGTTCAGTTTGGATGATGAGAATAAGCTAGCTAGCTCTACCATTTATTGCAATGAATTCCAATGAAGGAAGAGGCTAAGTAGGATCTAGACTCTTTTGGTCTATTAACATTTAGCTTATCAAATCCACAGCCTGTACTTCTGGAGCAGTCATCCCCAATAAGGCCAAACGTGGTAACTGTTGAAGATGGCAAATATGGACGATTCAACACATACATACAGTCCGGTCTGCTGTTGGTGCCTCCGTACGCTCTCTAAAATCCCGTGTTTGGTCAGAGCTAGGAGCAGCATCACGGTGCTGGTTCATCTTTGCTCCACCGTTCCTGTTTCTGCTTCGCTGCTTTCAAGGGAGAACAGGTTCAGATCTTCTGGAAGCTGGTGGAGGCCATTCCCTTGGCAGCTTGCTGGGCTAACCAGTACTTATATCTTTTGGTTTTGGGCCTCTCAAAGTTCACCACCGACATAGGTACCCTCACAGTGTCAAGTCCATTTACCTGCACACAGAACAATAGGAATGCTTAGATCAGTTGGGCAAACAGGGCTACCACCACCCAACCCCAGCTTTCTACCCAGTCAGAAAAAGGAGACCGTATGTGGAACACTCACCGTCACCTCGCACCAGTACTCACCCCTCTGGGTGATGGGCTCTTCGGGCAACTTTAATGCATGTGGGGCAACCACAACGCCAAGCTGCAAAAAAAAGCTAGCTAGCTCTACCATTTATTGCAATGAATTCCAATGAAGGAAGAGGCTAAGTAGGATCTAGACTCTTTTGGTCTATTAACATTTAGCTTATCAAATCCACAGCCTGTACTTCTGGAGCAGTCATCCCCAATAAGGCCAAACGTGGTAACTGTTGAAGATGGCAAATATGGACGATTCAACACATACATACAGTCCGGTCTGCTGTTGGTGCCTCCGTACGCTCTCTAAAATCCCGTGTTTGGTCAGAGCTAGGAGCAGCATCACGGTGCTGGTTCATCTTTGCTCCACCGTTCCTGTTTCTGCTTCGCTGCTTTCAAGGGAGAACAGGTTCAGATCTTCTGGAAGCTGGTGGAGGCCATTCCCTTGGCAGCTTGCTGGGCTAACCAGTACTTATATCTTTTGGTTTTGGGCCTCTCAAAGTTCACCACCGACATAGGTACCCTCACAGTGTCAAGTCCATTTACCTGCACACAGAACAATAGGAATGCTTAGATCAGCTGGGCAAACAGGGCTACCACCACCCAACCCCAGCTTTCTACCCAGTCAGAAAAAGGAGACCGTATGTGGAACACTCACCGTCACCTCGCACCAGTACTCACCCCTCTGGGTGATGGGCTCTTCGGGCAACTTTAATGCATGTGGGGCAACCACAACGCCAAGCTGCAAAAAAAATCACGGCCAAAAGGAGCTCTGCTTACATGGCTGCCACTCCAGGCAGTCTCAAGAGGATTCTAGACTTCCCTGTAGAGCGGTAAGTAAAACTGGGGAGTCTACCCTGGCTGATCCCACGGAAAGGCACAAACCTCCACGAAGAGTGACAGGGAAACCCAGTCCTGACTTCTCAGGGACGTGGTTTCACAAAGAGAAACACGGTTTGAGATCAAAATCACTTCATCCACATAAGTAAAAATTCTCCAGTGTCACAATTCCCCAGCTTTTCCTATCTAGAGAAAATAAATGTTCCCACCTTCTCCTATCAGTTTTCAATTTCTTTGTGACCATCCTTAGTCATTTCCCTCCCACACTCCTGCAAACCAATCAAGAACACTGTCCCTAAGATGGACAGCCACATGTAAATTAGTGAAGTTAGAAGACACCCTCACACCATACACAAAATTAAACTCAAAATGGCGTAAAGACTTAAACACAAGACACCACCACAAAACTAGAAGAGAACACACAAGCAAAACGTTCTGATGTACATTGTACCAGTGATTTCCTAGGTCAGTCTCCCAAGGCAACAGAAATAAAAGCAAAAGTAAACAGTGATACCTAACCAAACTTACAAGCTTTTGCACAGCAAAGGAAACCATAAACTAAACAAAAAGACAACCTACAGACTGGGAGAAAATATTTGCAAATGATGCCACTGACAAGGGCTTAATTTCCAAAATATAATAACAACTCATATACAACTCAACAACAAAAAAACCAACCCAACTGGACTTCCCTGGTGGTCCAGTGGTTAAGAATCTTGTCTGCCAATGCAGGGGCCATGAGTTGAATCCCTGAGGATTTCACATGCTGTGGGGCAACTAAGCCCATGCACACTAGAGCCCGTGCTCTGAAACGAGAGGCCCCCACAGTGAGAAGCCTGTGCACTGCAACTAGAGAGTAGCTCCTGTTCACTGTAACTAGAAAAAGCCTGGGCGCAGCAATGAAGACCAAGTGCAGATAAAAATAATAAAAATTGAAAGAAAAAAAAAAGCCAACCCCATCAAAAAATGGGCAGATGACCTAAACAGACACTTCTCCAGAGAAGACATACAATGGCCAACAGACACATGAAAAGATGCTCATCACTGCTAATGATTAGAGAAATGCACATCAAAAGGAAATGAGGTACCATCTCACACTGGTCAGGACAGCCATCATTAAAAAGTCTACATGGACCTCCCGGGTAGTCCAGTGGTAAAGAATTCACCTGCCAATGCAGGGGACATGGGTTCAACGCCCTGGTCTGAGAAGATCTCACATGTCGAGGGGCAACTGAGCTTGCAACCTGCAACTACAGAGTCCACATGCCACAACCACTGAAGCCCATGATCTGCAATAAAAGTCACTGCAATGAGAAGCCCATGTACTGCAAGTATAGAGTAGCCCCAAGTCACTACAACTAGAAAAAGCCCCCATGAAGCAACAAAGGCTAGTGTATCCAAAAGTGAACAAAAGTCTACAGATAACAAGTGCTGAAGAGGGTGTGGAGAAAAGGGAATCCTCTTACACTCCTGCTGAGAATGTAAACTGGTGCAGCCAGTATGGAAAACAAACAATATGGAGCTTCCTCAAAAAAATAAAACTAGAGTTGCCATATGATCCAGCAATACCACTGCTAGGTATGCACTTAGTCGCTCAGTTGTGCTGGACTCTTTGCGACCCCAGGAACTGCACGCAGCCCATCAGGCTCCTCTGTCCATGGGGATTCTCCAGGCAAGAATACTGGAGTGGGTTGCCATGCCCTCCTCCAGGGGATCTTTGCAACTCAGGGTTCAAACCTAGGTCTCCTGCATCACAGGCAAATTCTTTACCATCTGAGACACCAGGGAAGCCCATTCCTGGGTTTATATCTGGACAAAACTATAATTCAAAAAGATACACGTGGGACTTCCCTGGTGGTCCAGTGGTTAAGAATCTGCCTGCCAATGCAGCGGGCATCGGTTTGATCCCTGGTCCGGGAAGATCCCCCGTGTTGCAGAGCAACTAAGCCCCTGCGCCACAGCTACTGAAGCCCCCACACCTAGAGCCCATGCCCTGCAACAAGAGAAGCCACCACAGTGCGAAGCCTGCACACCACAACAGCGAGTGGCCCATGCTCGCTGCAACCTGAGAAAGCCTGCGTGAAGTAACAAAGACCCATCGCAGTCAAGACATGCAAACAACCTAAATGTCCATCAACACATGAATGGATAAAGAAACTGTGGTACATATATACAATGGAATACTACTGACCCATAAAAAAAAAAGAATGAAATCATGTCATCTGCAGTAACAGGGATGGACCTAGATTACCATACTAAGTGAACTAAGTCAGAAAGACAAATACCATATGCTGTCACTTACATGTGGAATCTAAAATGTGACACAAATGATCTATGAAACAGAAACAGATTCACAAACATAGAGAACAGACTTCTGACTGCCAAGGAGGAGGGTGCATTGATTTACATATAACTGTCCAACTTAGGGAAAGCATTCCTGACTGGCTTGCACAGCTGTGGGAAGGAAATGACTTGTGGCTGCCAGACTGGGGAGGGATGGATTGAGAGTCTGGGATTAGCAGACTATAAATTACGACTATACAGGATGATAAGCAGCAAGGTCCTACTGTATACAACAGGGAACTATATTCAGTATCCCGTGACAAACCATAACAGAATATGAAAAAGGATACATATATATAAAAAAATCATTTTGCTGTATAGCAGAAATTAACATGTTTTAAATCAACTATAATTAAAAAAAAAAAAGCTTTCCCTAACTTCAACTGGATGATCACACCCTTTCCTAACAGAGGGATCAATCCTGGAGTAGCTGCTTCTTCCCAGGGGTAGCTTCCATCTTCGGGGTATAGTGGTGTTTGGGAGTACTCACATTTCTCAGAAAGTGGCGGGCAACTATTTCAGGGTTTAGCTCCCATTTGACATTGTTCTTCATTCCTACCTCCAGGTGACAACTCCTCAGAAATTTCACTGTCTGAGAGGAATTATAAACAGAGGATAGGTTAGAGTTGGAATCAAGGAGAGGAAACATGTTAGCAAGAGGCCAAGAGGCATAAAGTCTGAGAGTTCAGGCAAAGCATGATTCTTGCCTCATAGCCAAGAGAGGTGAGATGATGAATAGGAAAGATAAAAATTCCTATTGTCTCAAGACTGACACTATGGAAAGATGTTTTAACAATGCTCTGGAGGGGAATGCTGCCTATACTTGGCTATTCCTAAGCAAGGAGACACAGGCCATGTCAAAGTTAGGCTCATCGACTGTTCGTCTCAGGATGGAAACTTTCATAGACCGTTTTAACCCAATATTCTGGCCCTTTAATCCTACCACTATACCATTAATGATTCCTCCTTGCTTACAGAATGAAGTATAAATTCATTAGCTGAGGATTAAAGATGTTTTATAAATCATGCCCAGCCCACTTTCCAGTCATCTATTTCCTAATATACTATTGTCCTCTGCTTTAACTAGGCTGGTCTACTTTCTATTTTAAAATATGCTTTAACTGAGCTTTCACTTCACACCTGACATAATGGCGATCATCAAAAGAAAACAAGTAACAAATGCTGGCAAGGATGTGGAGAAGAGGGAATCCTTGTACACTGTTGGTGGGAATTTAAATTTGTGCAGCCACTGTGGAAAACAGTAGAGCAGTTTCTCAAAAAACTAAAAATATTGAAACTACCATATTATCCAGAAATTCTACTCCTGGGTACGTATATCCAACCCCCTGCCACACACTAATTCAAGATACACGCACACCAATGTTTATAGCCATGTTATGGACGCAACCTAAGTGTCTATTATGAATGGATAAAGATATGGTATATGCAAATACACACACACAGACACAATGGAATACTATGCAGCCATTTAAAAGAACAAAATTTTGCCATTTGCAGCAATAAGGATGGGTTTGGAGAGCATTATGCTAGGTGAAATAAGTCAGAAAAATATGGTATGATATCACATATATCTGGAATCTAAAAAATATATATATATAATATAATGAGAAAAAAACAGATGCACACAGATATAGAGTGTAAGATAGGTTATAAGGATGTACTGTACAGCATGGGGAATATAGCCAATATTTTGTAATAAGTATAAATGAAGTGTAACCTTAAAACATGCCTTAATTATCTACTGAGACTTTGTCTCCCTTAATACCTTTCCTACCTTCCTGGTCTATCCAAAGCCTATTAATCCCACAAGGCCTAATTCAATCCCATATGAAAAAAATCCCTCCTCAATCACCCTAATCTGTTTCAGTCCACGTCACTCATAGTTTGTCTTGAGTTTATGTATCACTTTCTCTTGTGTCTGTGTTCTCTCCAGCCTGTCTGTCAACATCCCTGAAGGCAGAGTCCTCATCTCACATTTTTCCATGGATCCCCTGGTGCCTAGGAAGGGGCCTCCCAATAAGCTCTCAATAAACTAGAGCACTTAACTCAACATGTGAGGATCTCCTAGGAGGTCTTAATATTAATATCAGTTACAGTAGCCACAATACTTCCCCTTGCCCCTACCTTGTGCCTGAAATCAAGAGACTTCAAGGAAATCAAGAAGCCTTTTAAGGGAGAGGTTGGTGACTCCTACAGGTGACCAATAAAGAATTTCTATGTTTCTACTCACCGCCTCACCTGCCTTGGTCTGGATCTTGTCTAGTTTTCCTTCTTGTCTCAGCTGGAAGAGAAAGTTACAGATTGAGAAAGAGAAAAGAGTCCATAGTAACTAACAACAAAGTCTTACTGTGCTGGGCATAGTATGGGCTTCTGAATTCCTCTTCTTCTAGTCCCTACCTCATTTTCAAAATAAATATCAAAGGGAAAGAAGTTGTCAGAAGTAATGTTCAGGTTTTAATATCTTTTGAGTCCCTCTGCTTTCTTTTTGGGCTCACCAATTTCTCCTCTTCAAACAGCTTCTTGTTTTCAGGAGATGCATACACAGCCAGTCCTTCAGGAAGTAGTCGATTACGGCCCACAGATTTTTTCACCGAGACCAGGTCACCTCGGACTCCAAGTTCTGCCAACAGAGAACAGAGGCACAGGATCAGAATTATCTAGCAGTCCCTAAAGAGGAGATGATCAAAGAAAAAGAGACCTCTTATTCTCTCTCAGTGCTTATTCCTCCCAGAAGAAATATGAGTACTCACTAGGAACAACACGATTTCTAATTCATTTCTTTAGGGCCTGATTGAGAAACTCAATATTCCGTGTACAAAGTGAAGCATTGTCCCATCACGGAGATTTCAGTATGTGGTGCCTACTCTCCGGCCTTTCTCCCCACACACTGTAAAAGATGCTGTGCTAAGTGGCTTCAGCCCTGTCCAACTCTTGGCGACCATGTGGACCGTAGCCCGCCAGGCTCCTCTCTCCATGGGGAGAATACTGGAGTGGGTTGCCATGTCCTTCACCAGGGGATCTTCCAGATCCAGGCATCAAAGCAGTGTCTCTTAAGTCTCCTGCATTGGCAGGCGGGTTCCTTACCACTAGCGCCACCTGGGAAGCCCATGCATAGGGAAAGTAAAAATGAGGCCTTCCAAGACTCTGGAACATAAAATTAGATGATGCAGCATTCATATTCTAATTTTCTATGTAGGAAATCAATGTCACAATCACTTTTTACTTTTTACCGCCGCTGCTTTTCAGACAGCTGATCATTCCCCCAACGGAGTGAAAGGGCAGAAAAAAGTTGATGTCGAACAGAACCAGGCTGAGTGAAGTACCTCTCCCCGGGCCTTACCGTCCACCGACTGGGTGAGGATGAGCTCCAGGCTGCCTTTGGGCCGGTGTTTCGTATCTTCCACGAGCTTGTAGACGCGGTGTCGCCGGTGCAGGCGCGGTTTCCGGCCTTCTCCCGCTAGCGGCACCTTCCACCAGCGCTCTACAATGACCGTGCCCTGGCGGCCGGGGGAGCGAGGGTGAGCTTCGAGAAGAAGCGTCCTCCACTGCCCGCCGGCACCTCAAGGAGAGCCCACCACCCTCGATTTGGGGCCCACCCGGTCTCAGCGCGCTTCTCAAAACAAGCCTCGGCCGTAACTAGCTCCAGGAGAGGCAAGGAGCCCCAGAACTCAGACGCGGCCCTCACCCGATTGAGAGACAGGCTGAAGTCGCGCTCCGAGCCGGGGGTGCTCCCTAAAGGTTGCGGCCGGAGGAGCTCCCGGGCCCCTCCTCGCAGCAGCCGCTCAGCGAACACCCGCAGCTGAATTCCCCGCGGGACCGCGAAAGCGGCTGCCGCCATGTTCTCCGGCGCAGAGGAAGGCCCGCAAGGCGCAGGCGGCAGGAAAGGCCCCACGGGCTGCCCGCGGCGCGCCTGAGCCGGCGCCGCCCTGCGCGCTGAGCTTCAAGGAAAGCCTGGCGCGGATTGAGCTGCGATTTGGATGTGTGGAGACCAGAGATCTGGCTGGGATACATGCTCCACGATTCAGCATTTCCGCCACTCCCCTTTCCCAATTTCTTCTCGGGGGGAGGGATACCCACGGCCATTGACAGAGAGTGGAATGACTGTTAGGTGCACTGACACCGGGAAAGACACGCTCTCTCTCCCTTGGCTTCACTCGTCTTTATTAGTGTCTTTATTATTGGGGGCTTTTTATTTAGCTCCAGTCGCTCTCTGAGATCGCTTCCAGTTCTGACGTTCTGTGATAGCTGGATGCAGAGAGGAGAGGGTACTGCTCTCCCTTTTCCTTCCTTCAAATCTATCTAAAAGTGGTGGAAGGATGGAATCCTCTGGAAAACTGCCAACCTCAGGATCTCCTCTTAATCGTTCCACTACAGTATTTAGTCCTCCTATCCTGGAATAAGATACTGTCTTCCTTCAGGATTACTGCAATAGTCTCCTAACAAGTATTTAAATAAGTGTAAATCACGATGGAGACAGTTCCCTTTGTGGAGGGTCTCAGTACTGGGGAGTAAACCATATAAGTGGAATGAATAGGGCCTGTTTGGCATAAGAGATTTATGGAAAGATGCTAAGCATCATGTTATATGACCTATAAACAGTCTTTGGCCAGTAGTCCCTCGTAATCACACTTTCTTTAGGTAGCTTCCAGGACACCAATTTACTTTTCTCCTTCCGGTCTCAACGTGCTCCCAGAAACAAGCGGGGAGCTTCACTCATTTTCTTCCATCTCCTTTGCTGATTTCTTCTTTATTCTTCACCCCTTAGAGTGCCTCCAGGACTCAGTCTTTGGATCTTTACTCTTCTCAATGCCAACCTTTACTCATATGCCAATGACTTCAAATTTCTGTCTTCACCCTAGACTTCTAAACTCCACCCATGACTATCCAGCAGCTTACTTCATCTTCCCCTTATACATCTGTGGACAATTCAGTTAAGCTCCAAACTAAACCCATCTCTATCCTCTGCCCCATACTGCCTCACCTGCAGCCTTTCTCCTCTCAGTCAATGGTAACTCCATTCTTTCAGTTCTTGGACTCACCTTCTCTCCTACTTCAGGAAATCCTGTGGGTGCTACCTTTATACTATTTCCAGAATCCAACCACATCCCATCACCTCCAGCTCTCCACCATGGTATAAGATACTATCTTTCTCCAGGATTACAGCGATAGTCTCCTAACAAATATCCTTTAGAGCTCTACAGTTTATTTGCAATACACCCATCAGAATCTTTTGAAAAACATGTCAGATCATCTCATCTGTCCAAAACCTGCAAAGACTTCCCCCTTTAGTCAAAGAAAAGGCCATACAATGGTCTACAAGGCCCTGTATGACCCGGTCCCATTAGCTCTCTTCTTCTACTTCCCCTGTAGTTTACAGGGCTTCTCAGGTAGTAAAATTTCTCAGATTAAAAAAAAATCTTTTTGAGAAAACTTACCACAAAAATCTCTTTCCAGTTTCTGTGGAAAATCGTATGATCTGGTCTGCATTCCTGCATGGAAACTTGGAGCTGAGCTGTGTCACTACCCCCCACCCCCCGTTTTTTTAGAGTGGGAGAGCTTTTCATTTTGCTATAGTTCCACCCAGCAGCTCCACTAATTTCCCCTAGCTGTCCAGGCCCCTGGAGGCATTGAGTTTGCAGTTCCTACCCCATAAGGCACTGAGAAAGTTCAACAACATGTAGAACCACTGGGTTATAAAAGGTAGGGATAATAAAAATATTGAACTGATAGGAACAGGGAACCAACCAGTCAAGTCAGATACTGGATCAGGGCCTTAGAAGCCTCCTGCAGTCAGACCCCCATCTGTTACTGAAGTGTGTGTTTGCCACATGCACATGCCAGATGGGAGCCCACGTGTCATGAGCACAGGTGGTCAGCCAGGGGTGTTTACCAACCATACAGAAACAAACAGTATTTTAATTTGTGGTACAGCCATGAAGTCCATACTAGTTGAACAAGAGCTCTGGGGGCTACCTAAGCGGGTAGGGTGGGGTAGGGAGCAGCAGAGAGGAGTCCTGAAGTGACTGGAGGCTGAGCCTTTGTCCGCGTCACAGCGCTCACCGTGTCACAATGGCACCAGTGGCCTGAACCCCTGCCGCCAGCCCCTGAACCTCACTTTGCCGCGGGGAGGCACTGAACTAAGAAACTGCCTTGCTACAGGTCACGCCCCTCTTTCTACTCCCTTTCTTATATCAAGAGGGGGAAAACACGGAACTACCTCTACCCGTTCTGGTCACCATACGCCTATTACCTTTACTGTTACAAGTACCGGATCACCCTCCGGGAGAAGATGCTGCCCTGCTGTAGAAGGTACTTGTTTTAATCTCTACCTGTAGCTGTTTATATAAACTGTAAAGAAGAATAAAAGAATTTGAAAGGACTCCCTAAGTGGCAAAAGATAATAGCAAAATAGGGTGAAAGGCTGGCATGAAACTTTGTAAACCTTTCTATCTGGCTGGCCTGGGGAAATGGAAATAGATAGGCTGGTTCACGTAAGATAAGAAGACAGTGCCAGAGCTTGGCCCAGTGTACCTGGAAGGTAAGTCTCTCCTCATCTCAGACTCAGAGGTCAACTAATGTGGGCCTCTTTTTCCTCATCAGCATCACCACTTATAAGGAAGAGGAGGACTTAACACTCCGGCCCCGTTGCTGTCTTCAGTGCTCCTGAGTCCCTGGTAGGTCTTCAGGGGGGCAGACGCACCCAGCAGGGTGATCAAGACCAGCTTAAAGAATTATATTCGGTAAGTGGACTGGGAGCTGCTGCTGGGACATGGCAGCTCACTGCTTGCTATAATATGATATCTTGCAAAGGGACATGAACTAGTTGGAAAATAAATCATAAAGCTGTGAGCTCCTGTGTAAAAGTGACTTGCTTTTATAGACAAGGATTCTGGTCCAGAGAACTTAAGGCAGGGTCCTAGAGCTGGTGTTGAAAAGCAGGATGGGAAAAGAGGAATTGAAAACAAAGATAAGACTATGCTAAGACATAAAGCTGTATTCTAGGACATAAAGCTGTTTAGATGCTAAGTGTTGGGTCTAGAATCCAGAACTCCTGCACTTGCCTTTGTATCATCATGCCTAGGTATGAGCTATGCATTTTTAGATAAGAAGTGGCAGAATTTAGAGAAAACATATATGATGGAAAAATGTAGAAGAGTGTTATTAGTGAGACAGTAAACAGATAACACAGCTTTGTTTAAAGAATAAGCTGTTTGATGTAAATAAAAGTTTCTGAACCATTAGTGTACCCCTGAGTGAAGTCAGCAAGTAGTACTGACTCCAGATTCCAAATATTTATCAAGGAAAACTCCATGGTAGGGACAGAGTTAGGTCCTAGGACTAAGAGATACTGAGTAAGGCCTGGCTCCACTTTACCGAGGCTCTCCATCAGCCTCCTTCTTGCTTCCACAGACACACCCAAACGGGTCTGAGATCTGATTTGAGGGTTAGGTGAGCACAGAAACAGTAGGCTGTTATTCTCATTTTTACTCCTTTTCTAGGCTGGGAACTTGACGGTGCTGTCTACTGACCCCCTGCTTCACAAGGACCCGGTGCAGTTAGACTTCCACTTCCGCCTCACCCCCCAGACCTCTGCCCACTGGCACGGCCTTCTATGTGACCACAGGCTCTTCCTGGACATCCCGTATCGGGCCTTGGATCAAGGCAGCCGGGAAAGGTGACTGAGCCTGGATGGGGGCAGGGAGAGGTGAAGGGAAGACGTAAGGTTTTCACTCTGATGTCACAATCAGGTTAACGGGCATGCTAGCCAGTGAGGGCTTATTCAGGAGCTGGATACATTCAAAACACTGAACCAGCCGGTGAGCTGAGCCAGGATCTGGATTCAAGGGATAACAGCCCATAGGAGGTTGCTAAACTGATTCAGAATCAAAAGGTGGAATCCATAAATAGTTGAAAGGAAGTGATCTCCAGCTGTTTGTGGCCCCTCTTCCCCAAGCCCCTTCCACAGCAGGGGTATCAGGCCATAGTGTATAAACCTTTAGCTTCAGAGAAAAATCCATCAAAACTAGTTTGGAACTTTCACTTCCTTGGGTCAGGAAACACTGAGCAATAAAATATCTTCTGCTGCAAATTGGCACCTTTCTCGATTTTGAGTTTGCAAAACATGCTATTAACCATTTTCCTTCTGATCCCTAGTTTGACCGCAGCATTGGAGTATGTGGAGGAGAAGACCAATGTGGATTCTGTGTTTGTAAACTTCCAAAGCAACCGGAATGACAGAGGTGGGGAATCTGCTCTATCTTCCTGGCCCTTTGTGCTGAAGCAGCTGACAGTGATTTCCCCTCTATAGGAGACCTTCCTCGCCTCACTTGAAAGGGCATGTTCAGGCAGTTCAGGGATTCAACATCCATCCCCTTCTCCCTACCAAGGAAATTAAGGCATCTAGCATTCTGTTCATTCAAGTCATAACAGAACTGTCAGGAAGGCCCTGCACACAGATTTCAGAAGCTAGACTGAAGGAGTACTGGTGAAATTACACAGAAGCCATTCAAGGGATGTGCCTGGTAGAACAGAAAGTCTCAAATGTATTAAGCACCCATAGTATGAAAGGGTCAGGCGAAAGGCCAGGAATATATTTAACCAGATGCGAGGTGCACATTACAAAAACCCTTGCTCCCTCAGGGAGCTTATACTCTGTTGGATATGAGAGACAAGCAAGAGTTTATTATACCATCATTTGTGTTAGGCACTTTGTAAACATCTCATTTAAATTCTGTGATCCTCATTTTACAAACATGTAGAACGCTGAAGCCAGGTTAGAGTCCAGCTCTGTCTGACTCCAAAGCACATCATCCCTGTGCCTGCAGCACACTGCTCCCTGCCGGGTCATTCCCCAGTGGAAGAAGCCGAACCTAGGGGAATGGCTGCATGGAGCCTTAGAGTGTTCTAATTTTGTTCTCTTTTCACAGGTGCTCTGCTACGCGCCTTCAGCTACATGGGCTTTGAGGTGGTCAGACCAGACCACCCAGCCCTTCCTCCCTGGGACAGTGTCGTCTTTATGGTGTACCCCCTTGAAAGGGATGTTGGCCACCTGCCCTGTGAACCTCCCTGAACATGCATATTCCTACCCTGTGAGGGGCTGGGAGCCTTGTTAAGTGAGAGCCAGGCTTCCAGGATGTGACAGGACACCTTCCATCCAGGAGTAAAGGGTAGTGCAATCCTCATGTGTTTACTATTTCTTTGCAGGGGGGCTGGGGGGAGACGGTTGGCTGGAGTGAAAAATGAACCTTACAGAGCTGAATTCACTGTAAGATAGACAGACATTTGATGACTGAAAAGCTCAAAGGGGTCTGAGCAAGACAGGGGAAGGACCCGAGGATTTTAAGCTTTTGCCTTTCCCCTGTCCCCAAATCATTCCCTCATTTGTTTTAACCATCTGAGCACCTGCCAGAAGCAGGAACCAAGCACCAGGGAATTCAGAAAGACTTAAAAGCTTTACTGGGATATTTTTATCCATATATTTCGGTTCAAACTGGAGACAAGTGAAGGAAATCAGAGAAGGTACATGGTTCCTGTGGCACTAGTTTAAGGGCAGGAACATTCCAGGAGGCTGCAAAAGTAGTATTGTTAAGAATAGGGAACCCATCAGGATGGGTTAAGAGGTCTTAAAAGCCATATTAAAGGAAAAGGCTTTCATACACAGTAACAAACTGTAGCTAAGAATGAGACACCACTCATTTTTCAGAGAAGTCCTATGAACAATTTATATCAGGAGACCTCTTTTTAGAGTAAAGGCTGATAAACAGTAAGGTCCTACTGTATGGCACAGGGAATTATACTCAATATCCTGGGATAAACCATAATGAAAAAGAATACAGAAATAAAAGAATGTATAACTGAGTTACTTTTTGGTACAGCAGAGATTGTCACAACACTGTAAATCAACTATACTTCGATGAAATAAAATTTAAAAAAGAGTAAAGGCTGAGGAAACTGGGGACTGACTGGCCCCATGATCCTATCGTAGAGTAGCTCCAATTCCAGGGCCGAGCCTGCTTCAGTGAGCAAGTGCAGCCAAGGTCTGAAATATCAAATCAACGGCATGCTTTCATTGATTCCTGTGGGACTACCCAAGCTACCCAGAGATGCTCCTTCGCTGAAGTCTTTCTGCTAATTGGTACTGAGGTTTTTCTAAGACAATAAAATTTGAAAATTGTGTTTCTTGGAAAATATAGTTGCCATGTAGTATATGGGTAGACTTCATTAACTCCTAGATTAAAAAGTCCCACATATCAGTGTCTTATATACTAGTTTTAAGTCTTCTACTTTACCTTTCTGATCTTAAAAAAAAAAAGTTAATTTACTGTTATTCTCCTGCCCACTTTCAAACACCTTCACAGTTCTCACTGGATCCTTACAATACTGTCAGAAATGGAGAGATGCTATGTAAGAAAACAGGCTCTGTAAGTTCACAGCAAAGATCTATTCCTAGAACCCAGGTTTCTATAATTCTAATCTACCTCTTTGAGGTGAGGTGTTAGTGAATGATTAATCCTGAAGTCACTTTAAGGAAAGAATATGATCTGCACATGAGAGGGACAGCTGTTTCATAGGTGGTGTGAGGTGTTTGGCAATTTTACCAGATTTCAGTACAGAAGATACCCATAGGCTTGTTTCCATCTTGTGATTCAACCAGCATTTAGTTTTAGATAACTTTCTTAAGAACTTTATTTAGCAAAGAACACCCCAGTGATCTAAACAGCTCTACAAGTTCTCTATGGCTCTGTGTATATACATATATTGATATAGATACTATACCAGCAATATAGCAATATTTCCTGAGTTACCTTTCTCCTTGTCTACTTGTATTTTAACCAAAGTTTACTGGGAAATAGCTAGAGCACTGTTACAAAAATCTTGTCTTCAATAACACATCAGCAGTTGAGGCTGGGAAGCAGTATTCTCTTCTCACTTCCTGAGGCTTTTAATATAATTATGCTGATTTTTGCCTTTGCTGCCTGACTTAACTGCAATCTTTGAGTTTACCACTCAAAAGATTTCCCCTTAACCAGAGTCAACCTGATGCGGTGAGTCAGTCTGCAGAATCATCACTTCCAATAACCAAACCCTGGCTGTTTCCCAGCCTCAAAGAGGACATTGCTTAGCATACTGTGTATTATGACTGGCAGAGGGGACAAGCTGGATACTGAGCAGCCTGAGCGCCGTGCGGCAGTACTCACACTGCACAGGGCACACGGGGTGGTGGTGGAGTTAGGGGCATGTGTCTGTCTCCTTCCACCCCACATGCCCTCTGGTAGTCCAGTGGAAGAAGAAAATGCATTTGGTTCACAGCAAGCCAGGTCACGTATATAACGAAGGAAGAACTGCATAGATCTCTATTATAGGCTCTTCTCTCCAGGCACCAAGTCTTATGCCAAACCTGCCAAAGACACACACACAGAGACACAAGAAGCTTAAAAGGGCTCAAACTGAAAGTAAAACTGCAGGAAGGCAGCTGCAGAGAAGTAGTAATATGATGGGCTACAGGGAAGAGGCAAGGCCCTGTGGTCACCCTCATTACTCTCTGCTTGCTACAGATAGAGGACAGTTCTACTCACAGCAAAGCAGATGGCCGAGGCAACTGAAGGTGACTTCAGAGTAAGTAGTCGTCTTCAAGATTATCATCACCAGACATAGAAGCAGCTTCTATTCAGACATGAGGATAAAGTTAGATACTGCCCTACTGTGGCAGGCACTGCCATTGAGGATCAGAGAAAAAAATAGGCTTTTTGGTGTTCAATGACCACTCTGGTTAGGAGATAAATCCTGACACAACTTCCCTAGTTGGGAGAGACTGACTAAGAACTGGTAACTTCCAGAGATGCTCGAGGGAGCAAATGCTGTTGTACCTGATAAACTGAGGCAGGACAGGGTGTTTGCTATCTCTCCAGGGCTCTTCTTGGTCTCAGTGAGCATGCTCAGTGAGACATCTGTTTCTGTGGCCTGAGGGCATAAACAGGAGAAAAAGGAAGAATGTGTTTGGCTGGTGGGAAAGGAGAAGCCACCGCATCATTTTGCTCAGAGTCTGGTGTGGCTGCTGAGGGACACAGTGCTTCCCTTGATCAACTAGTGGAGCAACTCAGAGTCCTTAAGAGTGCTCTACAAACTGCACGCCTGACTAGAAGCCCCCCTGTCTTGAGGCACAAGGTTGGTCCCAGAGCAGCACCCCATGATGGTAAAGGCTCACTTACGAGGTCGTCCAACATCACTGGGGCAGCTTGGCTTCTTTCCACATCTTCTGCAAGCTCGACTGCGTATCCTTTACGAACTAATTCTAGCCCAATATCAAGTTTCTGAGAAAAGAAATGAAAAGGCTTCTTGGTGTTCAAAGAAGGGCAAATCAAAGGAAGGGCAGAAGAGCTGGGATTGATACTTGAAAAAATTCCTTTGGTGGTTCATTTAAGCAGGATCTTATGAGGCAGGACTATCATTAAATAAGGATTTCTGGGAAAGGAAAAGGAAGATGAGCCTATAAATATACTGAAGAGACAGTGAGCAACGAGTGAACCTCAGTCTTACCTTCCCATCGCTGGTATCATATAAATAGACCTTGGGCCAAGTTGAGATCCCAGACTGGACATAGCTAGAGATCTTGGCCACCAGGGGCTTCCAGTCAGCACAATGAGTGAGTCTGTCAAACTCATCCAAAGCTTCCTCTTCCCATTGTTCACCTGGTTAAAAAAAAATTGTAGACAGAGCCTAAGAAGGGGTCAGTGCTGACAGGGGTGGGATTATGTCCTGGAGGGAAGCTGGAACTACCTACTTCAGAAGGTACCTATGTCTGATTGCCAGGCAGGTTTCTGACTGTTGCTGTCTGGCACTGGTGATGAAAAGGCGCCAGAGCCCCCAGAACTCAAAAAGCCTGGGAATGTGAGAATCCCCACCACATGCCCTATGAAAGTTATTCTATTTGGACGCAGAGTCAATAGGTAATAGGATCAATTTACCTGAGGGGGCAATCCGTGCCAGACTACACTCTATTGCTTGAAACGGAAGGCTTAGAAAGTCACTCCTAAAGTGAAAGAAACTGAAATTAGAATCCTAGTGCTAGGAGGGCCTTCTTATATTCCTTGCTTCTAGACAGTACCAGTTAACCCAGCAGCAGAAGATAATTAACTGATCTCTGTAAAGAGGTTATCTTCCAACCCTACCCCACCCCCTCCCCAGTGAGAAGTGCAAACAGCTCACCACGCTATGGCCAGGACTGAGTCAACGGATGAGACTCCAGCCTGACACCACACTGACCTGAGCACTCTGAGATCCCTCAGTGGGCAATCTCCATTATCTCCAAAGTCAACAAAGTAAAGGTCCAGGTTCCCATTCTCCAAGGTACCGAGGACCCGGGCACGATACCAGGAACCATTTGTCGGTAAAGGCGCAGCGACGATGTCTCCCGCGTGTACAGTCAAGTCTTCAGGCTGCAGAAGGAAGTGAGGAGTCAGGAGACGGCAGAGTTAGGAAGGGAGGGGCTAAGAGATTGGACACCAGAAGGAAGAACAAGCCACTGCTCCACAGGAAGGGGAAGAGAACACATCACAGTGAAAAGGATATGTTCCCCTCCATTGGACCCCAGCCCTGTCCCTGTAGTGACTCACCAGACTATTTTCGTAGTGCTGGGTCATCTCACTGACAAGCTTATCCAGTTGCAGGCTGCGGGAGCCAATGATTTGGATCCAGAAGTGGTTAGGATGTTCAGAGGCAGAGACATAGACTTCTAGGAATTCATCAGCATGGAAACTGAAGTCTGGACTGGGAACTAACCACAGGCATAAGCAAGTTAAACTACAGAATCATTGTTATCTAAAATGATGACCATTATCAGAATCATCTCCGGTTGAAATGGGAAGACTGCATCGGTGGGGTGAGAGGTACAACTACCAAGTGGCTAATACCATTTAAAAATGGCTGGAGGGACAAGTGGATGAATCATACAAGAAAATCCTGAAGGAAAGGTACTATAAGCTATGTTCTGTTCCTTTCTATGTAATTGAGTAATTAGAGTTCATTCACATTCTTTGTCATCTGCCATGTATTCAAATCAGCACCAATTATAATGAAGGGAAATGCCCATATGCTAGCTACAGCAGGACCAGGGAGAAGATATGTGGACAGATGTGGGCCTGCTCCAGACTGTATCCCACCACCGACTCATTAGACCCTGGGCACGTCTATGAACCTCTTAAGGACTCCGGTCTTCCCTGCCCATCCCAGTACCTACACACAGAAGAAAAAGCCCACAGCCTTTTCATTCTTCTTGAATGGTGAAGTTTTTTAAGAACAGTAATGAGACAGGAAAAAATATTGGACTCAAAAGTATTTTACTTATTTGTATATGTTTGAAGAAAGAATATCATGTAATTCAATTATTTGATGTATTACTTACATACCAGTTTCCTGTGAACGAGCATATTTCTATATTGTTCTCTAATTATTAGTTGGTTTGTATTCAGAAAAAAAATGTGTGTTCAGTATTAACCCAAGGAAAATATTGCCAGAAAGTCCCATCTGTAATTAAAGAACTGTAAATGTAGTCAAGAAAACAGAAATTATTTTTTTATTGTTTCCTTATTCTGGGATATCTAAGCCAGTATTTCTGGCTTCCCAGGTAGCAGTGATAAAGAACCCACCTGCCAATGCAGGATTGGCAGAGGGCTCGATCCCTGGGTTGGGAAGATACCCTGGAGAAGGAAATGGCAACTTGTTAAAAGTATTCCGGGGAAATCCCATGAACAGACAAGACTGGCAGGCAACAGTCCATGGGGTTGCAAACAGTCGGACACAACTGAGCATACACACATAGCCAGTATTTCTATCTTCCATGTGGCTAAGGGGATCCCCCTTTGTTACATACTTTCAAACATGGACATCTCTGGACTGGTCTGGACACCAGACCTCTGAAAGCTGTCATCATTAGGTTTCTCCCAGGAACCCTCTTCTGGTCCTACAACAGCCACGTCGCCATCTCCTTTGTGGGGAGGAACTGCCAGAGGTGCAGCCTGTTTTAAGCTAGTGCCAGTGTTTTTCCATAAAGCTGGCTCTCTGGCTCCACCTGGCTCTGTTACTTCCTCTCTTCTTACGCTGATTGGCTGCTTCCGTGGAACTCTGGTTTCTGCAGAATGAGCAATTCTCTTCCTAAGTTCTTCATCTTCTGAAACTTTCTCCAGTATCAAATGCTGTGGAAAATAAGAGAAGGGATGATATCTACATGGTCAGATACTGACCCAGGATGGAGTGAAGGGTTCTTCTCACTCTCAGACACAATTCAGGTTAGCTACTTGCCTTAGCTGCTGCCACTTCCTTCTGTGTTCCTGAGATTTTTATAAGTCTTGATAGTAGCAATGTTCCTTCTGATTCTTTGTCACAGGTGATTTTGGCTCCTGAGGCCTTACAGATAGAACGAATTGTCTCGCCGCCTCGCCCTGTATTGAATAATACATAAAACACTGTCCTTTCCTCTACTGCTACTAGTGATGCCACTATCTTGTATACACTACGAGGGGAGAGTCAGGGCTCATTTTCAAACTAAACAGATTGTAGGATAGTGAATGGAAAACAGAAGCTACTGAAATCCTTACTATAATAAGGATTATTATAGTATATATATATATACACACACTAGATTATTTGCTCTATATATGTACTAGATTATTTGCTCTATATATGTACTAGATTATTTGCTCTATATATGTACTAGATTATATGCTCTATCCATTTTATTTAAATTCTACACACTGGATAAGTTAATGTGGTCATGTCACTTTCATCTTCTGGCCACTGAGCAGACTTCACAGCCTCACTTCATTAGAAGATATCTTACATGAAACCACTGGACCAAGGACAGGACATTTCTCTGCTTCTCACAACAGCATGAGGAATGCTCTAGGGGAAGGTGCTTTCTAGAGCACAGTCTTGAGAGATTTAGGATAAAATCAGCATCCTTAGCTTCCCTTTAAAAGTCTAATATGAGGTAAATACATTTACATGAACCCTTGTGGAACCTATTTGTAAGGTTCAGATCATACTTTAAAAAATTTTTATTATTTATTTTTGGCTGTGTTGGGTCTTAGCTGTAGCATGTAGGCATCTCTCTGGTTGTGGCACACAGGCTTAGCTTCCCTGAGGCTTGTGGGATCTTAGTTCCCCAACCAGGGATCGAACCCATGTTCCCTGCACTGGAAGGCAAAATCTCAACCACTGAACCACCAGGGACGTTCTCTTACAACTTCTTGAGGTACTGAGTTTTGCTTTACCACTGGCTCTATAAAAAAGTAAAGTTCTGGTCTCAATTTCCCTTTTTTTCCTCAGCAAGGTGAAGGGGAAGTAGGCCAGGAAAAACCCTCCGGAAGGTGTGAAAGAAAGGCAAAGGGAAACAAAAAGGAGACAGCAGAGAAAGCTGTCCAGGGGTACCTATGATCCTGCCCACAGATCTCTGGGGAACTGAGAGCTGCTCAGACACTGGGGTATTCTCTGTCAGGATCTGATGAATCGCTGCTTTGGCCTTGCACACCTGAACAGGAAAACCACTGATAAGCAGCACCCGCTCATCTCCTGTATCCTCTGTGTCCACATCGATCCGAGCACCTGTCTTCTTTCTTAGCTGCAGAGAAAAGGATACGTGGCAGAATGTTCTGTAAGAGCTCTCACCTGGGTCAGCTAAGGGTACTCTCAACCTAACCCTGGAGGTGGATGAACTGGACACAGCAATCAGTGAAATCGGGTGCCATAAGCAGTCTTCAATTATATGTACTTATGGAAGGAGAGACAAAGGTAACCCTAAACAGCAGTTAATCCAAAACAGTTTCTCTGTGTTTAGACTGGTCTTTCCCCAAATTTGGATTAAAGAATCAATTATTTTGTTTCCTTGACATTCCAACTGAATAATGGAAGATGGTAAAAACAATCAGGGAGCAATTAATTTATTACTGCCAATTAATGAGTTCATAATTCCATTGCAGAAAGGAATGATTCGAACTATACCAGGATGAGAACCATCCAATTAAAAATCTCCATTTCAAGCTAAGTCACCCATTCTATAAGAAGTCGAAGTACTCATCTCTGGAAGGAAAACAGCAGCTAGAAACTTCCTATTTTTGTTGTTGATGTTTGTTTGTTTGTTTAAAATATACATAGTGTAAGTGGGTTTTACAGAATGGGGACAGAGGATGGACAGCAGAAATCAGTCCCTGGGAAAGCTGCTGCCTGCTCACACACTTACTTGTTTAATATTGGCTCCTTGCCGGCCAATGATGAGCTTTACAGCCTCCTGGGGGACTCGCATCTCTATCTCGATGTCATCTTCCCCAACAAATGTCAGCCGTTCTTCTGCACAGATCATCAGATCAGACTTAGACAATACCCAAAGCTATTACTTCTCCTCCCCTGAATCAAAGCTGTCAAAGAGACACTGATGTAAAAGATAAATTGAGGATTTCAATCATAAAGAGAAGGAGAAGCAGCATCTGAGTGGAAACTAAAAGGTCCTCAAAGACCAGAAGATGGGCATTCTCTCTGGGATACCGTTTTCAAATGCTAAAATGGGAAAAGCCACTGGATTCTGGGCAAACTACTTCTCCCAAGACATGACTCCTGGAGAAGAATGAAGGCCAGAAGTTGCCTGAGGAGTCCACTAGGCTCAGAACTTCCCTTGTTTATACACAAATCATTTTTGTAACTCCTACTCTCTAAGTCCAGCCTGTGGGGAAACTGGACCCAACAGTTAGCAGAATCCCTTACAGTGCTGATGTTGCTGAATGGAACAAATCAACAGAATTATAAAATGGTTCTTTATTTCACAGACTAGCTTAACATTAACATAGAAAAGAAAAACTTTGTTTCAAAGGTCCCTCACAGAGAGTTAATTACATCCCAACAAATGATAACTTGAAAGAAGTTTCAAGTTAACAATGCCAGAACATAGTCTAACCACTTCGGTATGTACAGCCATGGATTCACATACCTCTGCTTTCCCTATATCTGCGGTATAGGATATAGGCAATTGTTGCACTGGCAGGGATCCCAAGGCCCAGTGCTATTTTTTGAATAGTGGACAAACTTGTCCAAGAAGTCCGTTCAGTGGACATTTTGGGCCGCCTCCTGAAATAAGCAAATGAAGAGAAAGGAGCTTTCATACAACTTTTATGTCAGAGAGAATGGAACACATTACAATATTACAAAGAATACTACAGCCTAGTTTCCCATTTCAAGAGCTTGAACAGTCTCAAGGTGTACTTCATGTGAAAGGCCACAGGGTATTTTTTCAGAAAGTTAGCTGAGGGACACATACACATATGACTAAATAGAGGAGTATTACTCCCTTCTCAACCCCTGCAAAGAGAACTATTTATTGATCAGCTTTAAAGGACAAAGGAACAAGAAATTAACTGAATCAAATATTTAACAAAATTTATATTTCATATCAAACTATTTAAAATTCCTTACATATGCACTTCTATGCCTCCTGGCCTTTCCAGATGCTGTTGTCTCTAAAAGGAATGGCATTCCAGGCCCAGGTTTAGGTTTTGCTACTTCTACTTCTCTTTCTTGAAAGTGTGATCTATTTATTCTCTGTACTCATTTCTATTTACTCCTCAGCTAACAATGAAAGGGGATTCTCTCCGGCTCCTTCATCAAAACTAAAACTTTCCAGGTAATTAACCTAGACGGCATATATAAGCCTTATCTAATCTCACCTCTGTTCCCTCTTTCCCATGGTTTCTATTTATCTAGAGGAGTTTTCTGAGTTTTGAGCTTGTCTTCCAGTGGCCTCTATCCATTGCTATTGTCACTCTGCTCTCTTTGGGCAATTTTATCCATACTTGAAGCATGAACTACTATCTATATGCGAATAACCCCGACACTGTACCTGGACTGATTGCTCATCAAATCTCATTTAGACCACTGTAATGGTCTTCTTGCTATTAGTCTCTCTTTGACTGTATCTTCATTTTCTTACCAAGCATATATCCCTCACTCTATTTCTTTATTTCATGTACCAATACTTTCTTACCCTCCCAATTATTTTACACCATCTCTTCTCCAACCTCTAGTGCTTCCTTCCTCATTCTCCCTCTCAACTGATGTCTGCTTCCTATCTCACTGAGAAAGTAAAGCATTTGGAGAAAATATTACTAACTTCCAAACTGATCCATCCACCTCCACCTCCTAAATATTTTATCTTCCTTCCTGTGGTCATGAATGAACTATCTTGGCTCTAGCACTGAGTCTGTCATATAAGTGTTGCTCTCCTTCCTTATCTTGCATCATCAATCTTTTCCTCTCTACCGAATCTTTCCAGGAGCAGACAAACACGCTATTATTTCTTTCTTAAAATTCTTTCTCAATTCCACTTATTCCTCCAAATACTATTCATTTCTTTTCTTCCTTTTACAAGAAAACTCAGTGTCAATGCTTCTGTGCTAGATTTCTCTTCTTGAGTTCACTCCTGCTGCTCTAGTGAAGGTCACCAGGGATTTGGATTTGCTAAATCCAGTGATCAAGTCTCAGTCTTCCCTCGACCTCCCCCACCACCAGAGTCTGGCACAGCTGGTGACTCCCTCTTCTCTGACACTTTCTTCACTTGGCATCATAGTACTGTTTCCTGGTTTTCCTTCTCCCTCTCTGGCTGCTCCATCAGCCTCCTTTGTTGGGTCTTGCTCCATTTTTTAACCTCTAAACACTGGAGTGACCCAGGGGTCTGTCCTTTACCCTCTTTATTCAAGAATCACTCTGTCTTGGCTTTAAGCCCCATCTATTTGCTGATGTTTAACTCCCAAATTCATAGATCAAGTGAGGACTGTTCTCCTGAACTCCAGGTTTGTACATCCAACTGCTTATGAAATATCTCCATTTGATGTTTAATAGGTATCTCAAACTTAGCAAATGCAAGTTTGCTAAGCACTCCGGATCTCACTCCTTTCTTCTTTGCCCTATCAGTTAGTGGCAACTCCATTCTTTCCAGTTCCTCAGGCTAAAAATCTTACTCTTCTTCCCCTCAAACAGCACATCTATCCTGGAAGCAAATCCTATTTGTTTTACATTGATTATCCAGAATCTGACTACTTTTTAACCTCTCCATTGCTATGACCAACATCTGCTCAAAACCACCATTATCTCTTGTCTAGATTATTAAAAAGCTTAATTACCTCCCTGCTTTTTATCATTGTACAATTTATTCCCAATACAACAGCTGGGGTAAGTGAAAAGTGTTATTCATCTGCTCAAATCCTTCCACGGTTTTCCATTTCACTATGATTAAAACCCAGTCATTATAATGACCTGCAAGGTGTTCATTTTGATTGTTTCCCCATTGGAAAGTTAACTCCCCAGAAGCAGGAATTAAAAAAATTTTTTTCCTCCGTACTTAGCACATGAAAGTGAAAGTGAAGTTGCTCAGTCGTGTCCGACTCTTTGCGACCCCCGTGGAAGGTAGCTTACCAGGCTCCACTGTCCATGTGATTTTCCAGGCAAGAATACTGGAGTGGGCTGCCATTTCCTTCTCCAGGGGATCTTCCCAACCCAGGGATCGAACCCGGGTCTCCCGCACTGCAGACAGATGCTTTACTGTCTGAGCCACCAGGGAAGCCCCTTAGCACATAGTAGCCACTTAGTATTTGGTCAATAATAATCTTTGAATGAACACACTTCCTCTTATTCTTCAGCAACTCTCCTGCCTACATGTAAGCTCAGTGGTATGAAAGGTTCTTTATAACCTAATCTCTGCCTATCATCTCCACAGCCTTATATTCTAACACTACTTCTACTAGGGGAACAGGATGTGCTTTCTTAAGTATCCTTGCTCTGTCACATGTCACTTCTGTCTTCACAGTCTTACTCCTTAGCCCATCAATACACTTACAACCATTCTGCTTTTAACTTTAACAAATTACGTGTGATGAAATAAAAATTCATATTCTAAGGCAAGTTGAGGATAATTTAAACATTAAAAAAACTTCCTCTGCCCTTTGGCCTTCTCTCTCCTCTCCACTGTGCACTGTGTATCTGCACCATGCATCGACCAAACCATCCCACTGGCAGAAATACCTGCCTGAACCATAAAGCATAACATTCTTGGGGAGCTAGACTCAGAAGCAGCACACATTCGATTCACTATACTGCCCTTATAATGTTGCTCAGACTGTATCTCATATCTGAATCAGGCTGCCAAGTTAATAATGGGAAATTGTGCCTCGAAGGCCAAACTCCCATGCAGACAGACAGCCACCTACAGGAATGCCAGCTGGGTTTATGTATGCTCGCAAATACTTAACTAAAAATTAGAGGAAACCCCACCCTGAAATGGCCAAGACTAGGTTCTCTTTTTGGCATTCCAAAACTGATTTTCTGAATGCAGTTAAAAGCTGGCAGTCTCCTGAAACTCTGCCTGCAGGGTCTACTAGAAATAGTGGAAAGAATTTTTCTCTTTTAAAAATTAGGTTAGCAGGGAGAAATATTTGTACAGGGCTAGCTTTTTAAAGCTTTGGATCCTGTGAACTGAAAAACTTCCAAGTTAAAATTTTACACAGCTCTCATCTTAAACTATTGTACCTATTTTAACTGATATATAGAAGGCTCAAAAGACTTCAAAATTTCAAAATAGCCTCATTTAAAGATTTGTTGTAGAAGGCCAATGAAAGATTAATGATAGGTACCTAAAAACTGCTCAACTCTATCTTTGAATACTCATTCTAATAATCTTCTGACTTGCCTTTCCACTCCGGAGACACTATTAAATGGTTACCTTTAGAAATGGGACCACCTGAGGAATGCAAGTTGGTATAGACACTATGGAAAACAGTATGGAGGTTCCTCAGAAAATCAGAGTTATCATATGATCCACCAATCCCACTTCTGGGCATACACCCAGACAAAACTATAATTCAAAAAGATACATGCACCCCTATGTTCACAGCAGCATTATTCACAGAAGCCAAGACATGGAAATAACCTAGATGTCCACTGACAGATGAATGGATAAAGAAGATGAGACATACATATACACAGTGGAATACTACTTAGCCATAAAGAACTACAAAATAATGTCACTTGCAGCAACATGGATGGAATTAGAGATTATCATGTCAAGTGAAGTGAGAAAGAGAAAGACAAATATCATACTTATATGTAGAAACTAAAACACAGCACAAATGAACCTATACAAACAGAAACAGACTCACAGACATAGAGATCAGACTTGTGGTTGCCAAGGGGAGGGAGAGGAGGGACCAGCTGGGAATCTGCTGTTGGTAGATGCAAACACTTAGAATGGACAAACAACAAGGTCCTACTATATACAGCGCAGGAAACCATAAGAAAAGAGTATTTTAAAAAAGAAATACATGTGTAAAACTGAGTCACTCGCTGTATAGCAGAGACTGGCACAGTACCGTAAATCAACTATACTTCAATTAAAAGAAAAAGAAACGGGACACCTGAGGCTGTAGACCATAGCTACATAATTTCTTAAACCCAGGAAGAATCCTTAAAAGTGTTTGTAAATGGATTGCCAAGATGGGTGACCACTGGCCTGACTAAATTGATCATAGCTGATATTTAGAACCTGACAGAAATTTTACCGGGGAGAGGTGGGGTCTCTGTCCCCCAAGCTAAACGAGGGAACATAAAATTCCAGCATTGGTGAATGCATATGTCAGTCCTTGCACTGAGGGGACTGCTCAGTTTTATGAGGAATTAAAAACCACTGTCCTTGTGTTGCAGGAAGGGGAACCCCTTCCAGGGCCCAAAAATGGGCTCCTGTCTGACACTTGGAAATGAACTGTCCGAGTAGACACATGTGCTAGCCAAGCAAGAAATATTACTGGAAAGGGCTCCTGGGCAGAGAGCTGAAGGGTAAGGGAATCCAGGAAAACAGCTCTGCCACATGGCTCATAGTCTCAGGTTTTATGGTAATGGGATTAGTTTCCAGGTTGTCTTTGGCCAATCATCCTGACTCAAGAGTCCTTCCTGGTGGCACACGCATTGCTCAGCCAAGATGGATGCCAACGAGAAGGATTATGGCAGGTGGTTGGACACATGGTGTCTCCTTTTGTTCTTTCCTGAACTCTTCTGGTTAGTGGTGGCTTATGAGTTCCGTGTTC